GACGCCATCTTGAGGGAAGGGACACTTGTGGGTCACAATGGTTGTGTTGTATGGGAAAGGACACATGGGTCACAACGGTTGTGTTGTGTGGGACTTCAGAGGAAGGGTTTTTGTGTGTGTCACAAATCCCGTGTTGTGTTGAAGAAAGACATGCTTTGAGAAGGGTGGCCTGTGAGGGAGACATTTTGTGGGTCGAAAGCGTTCTGTGACGCCATCTTGAGGGAAGAGACACTTGTGGGTCACAATGTTTGTGTTGTATGGGACTTGAGAGGAAGGTTTTTTTTTTGTGTGTTACAAATCCCGTGTTGTGTTGAAGAAAGACATGCTTTGAGAAGGGTGGCCTGTGAGGGAGACATTTTGTGGGTCGAAAGCGTTCTGTGACGCCATCTTGAGGGAAGGGACACTTGTGGGTCACAACGGTTGTGTTGTATGGGAAAGGACACATGGGTCACAACGGTTGTGTTGTGTGGGACTTCAGAGGAAGGGTTTTTGTGTGTGTCACAAATCCCGTGTTGTGTTGAAGGAAGACATGCTTTGAGAAGGGTGGCCTGTGAGGGAGTCATTTTGTGGGTCGAAAGCGTTCTGTGACACCATCTTGGGGGAAGGGACACTTGTGGGTCACAACTATTGTGATGTGTGGGACTTGAGAGGAAGGGTTTTTGTGTGTGTCACAAATCCCGTGTTGTGTTGAAGGAAGACATGCTTTGAGAAGGATGGCCTGTGAAGGAGACATTTTGTGGGTCGAAAGCGTTCTGTGACGCCATCTTGAGGGAAGGGACACTTGTGGGTCACAACGGTTGTGTTGTGTGGGACTTGAGAGGAAGGGTTTTTGTGTGTGTCACAAATCCTGTGTTGTGTTGAAGGAAGACATGCTTTGAAAAGGGTGGCCTGTGAGGGAGACATTTTGTGGGTCGAAAGCGTTCTGTGACGCCATCTTGAGGGAAGGGACACTTGTGGGTCACAACGGTTGTGTTGTGTGGGACTTGAGAGGAAGGGTTTTTGTGTGTGTCACAAATCCTGTGTTGTGTTGAAGGAAGACATGCTTTGAAAAGGGTGGCCTGTGAGGGAGACATTTTGTGGGTCGAAAGCGTTCTGTGACGCCATCTTGAGGGAAGGGACACTTGTGGGTCACAACGGTTGTGTTGTGTGGGACTTGAGAGGAAGGGTTTTTGTGTGTGTCACAAATCCTGTGTTGTGTTGAAGGAAGACATGCTTTGAAAAGGGTGGCCTGTGAGGGAGACATTTTGTGGGTCGAAAGCGTTCTGTGATGCCATCTTGAGGGAAGGGACACTTGTGGGTCACAACAATTGTGTTGTATGGGACTTGAGAGGAAGGGTTTTTTGTGTGTCACAAATCCCGTGTTGTGCTGAAGGAAGACATGCTTTGAGAAGGGCGGCCTGTGAGGGAGACATTTTGTGGGTTGAAAGCATTCTGTGATGCCATCTTGAGGGAAGGGACACTTGTGGGTCACAACGGTTGTGGAGTTGATAGGACCATTGCTTCAATGCTTGTGGTCTTTGCTTCTTCCAGCACACTGACATTTGAGGGAATGTCAGTGTGCCTTCCCAAGAGATTTGGAGGATTTTTCGGAGGCAACGTTGATGGAATCATTCCAAAAGTTGCATGTGACGTCAGTAGATAGACCACGTTTCACAGGCATATAGCAGGGTTGGGAGGACAATAGCTTTATCAACAAGCCCCTTGGTCTCCCTACGGATGTCCCGGTCCTCAAACACTCTCTGCTTCATTCGGAAAAATGCTGCACTCGCAGAGCTCAAGCGGTGTTGTATTTCTATGTCAATGTTGACTTTTGTGGAGAGGTGGCTGCCAAGGTAGCGAAATGGTCAACATTTTCTAATGTTACACCATTACGCTGTATTTCTGGCATTGGAAAGGGATTGGCAGGTGACTGCTGGAAGAGCACTTTGGTTTTCTCAGTGTTCAGTGACAGGCCGAGCTTCTCGTACGCTTCTGCAAAGGTGTTGAGAGTAGCTTGTAGGTCTTCTTCTGAATGCGCACAGATGATGTTATCATCAGCATATTGGAGTTCTATAACTTCTTGTTGTGACCTTGGTTTTGGCTTTCAGTTTGCTGAGGTTAAATAGCTTTGCATTTGTATTGTCGAAGGCTTTCATGGCCAGAATCACTGGGTTGTTGTAGGTTTGTTCGGGCTATATGGCCATGGTCTAGAGGCATTCTCTCCTGACGTTTCGCCTGCATCTATAGCAAGCATCCTCAGAGGTAGTGAGGTCACTACCTCTGAGGATGCTTGCCATAGATGCAGGCGAAACGTCAGGAGAGAATGCCTCTAGACCATGGCCATATAACCCGAAAAAACCTACAACAACCCAGTGATTCTGGCGATTTCTAACAAGATATCAAGGAATACTGAAGAAAAAGACAGACTGGCAATTGTTTAAAACCTTTATGAAAAAAGGAGAAGAAAACCATAATTATTTAATCAAAAAAAAAAAAACAACTACTGAACACATTTAAGGATACAACCACGAATGGAGAAAGTAGAAATCAAACTTTTTTTTTTGACTTTTGGACAAAATAAGCAAAGAAAAAGATCAGAAGTACAGAAGCTGAATTCTTTCCCCCTTTTTTTCTTCTTTTCCTTTCCTTTTTTCTCTTATTCACTTTTTGCTCTATTTACCTTTTTGGCAGTTATTTTATTTTATGCATAAAAACTTTCAATATTTTTTTTTAAATATCCCCTGTGAGATTGAACAGACTTGAGGTTTGAAGTTAATTGACTCCAGCTGCAGTCGAATTCAAGGTTGGCTGTATTTGATCTGACTGGGGTTTACTTCTGAATAGACAGAGGATTCAGGGTGTGTGTGTATATAGCTTTTGTTTTATTTTTTGTATGTATGTGTATATATATATGAATTTTTCCAGAATTTCAGAGGAATCAATAGAATGCTTGGCTAATGGATGTAAATCCTGCTTCATATAAATTTGTCTTGTGAATGTGTTTATATCTCTGCCTTCTCCTTTTGTGTACATATTCTTTGCTTTCAGTATAAATATTTAGCCTCCCTTTTTGGGGGGGCTTATAGGAGTTAACTAGTAGAGTTGCCTGGAGATCCTAGATCAGTGTTTCTCAACCTGGGGGTCGGAACCTCAGGAGGGGTTGCAAGGGGGGTGTCAGAGGGGTCGCCAAAGACCATCAGGAAGCACAGTATTTTCTGTTGGTCATGGGGGTTCTGTGTGGGAAGTTTGGCCCAATTCTGTCACTGGTGGGGTTCAGAATGCTCTTTGATTGTAGGTGAACTATAAATCCCAGCAACTACAACTCCCAAACGTCAAGGTCTATTTTCCCCAAACTCCACCAGTATTAATATCTGGGCATATTGAGTGTTCGTGCCAAGTTCGGTCTAGAACCATCATTGTTTGAGTCCACAGTGCTCTCTGGATGTAGGTGAACTACAACTCCCAAACTCGAGGTCAATGCGCACCAAACCCTTCCTGTATTTTCTCTCTATTTGGTCATGGGAGTTCTGTGTGCCAAGTTTGGTTCAATGCCATCAATGGTGGAGTTCAGAATGCTCTTTGATTGTAGGTGAACTATAAATCCCAGCAACTCCAACTCCCAAATGTCAAGGTCTGTTTCCCCCAAATTCCACCAGTGTTCCCATTTGGGCACATTGAGTATTTGTGCCAAATTAGGTCCAGATCCATCATTGTTTGAGTCCGTAGTGCTCTCTGGATGTAGGTGAACTACAACTCCAAAACTCAAGGTCACTGCCCGCCAAACTCTTCCAGTATTTTCTCTGTATTTGGTCATGGGAGTTCTGGGTGCCAAGTTTGATTCAATTCTATCATTGGTGGAGTTCAGAATGCCCTTTGATTGTATTGATTGTTCGTCATGGGAGGTCTGTGTGCCAAGTTTGGTTCAGTGCCATCATTGGTGGAGTTCAGAATGTCCTTTGATTGTATTGATTGTTGGTCATGGGAGTTCTGTGTGCCACGTTTGTTTCAATGCCATCATTGGTGGAGTTCAGAATGCTCTTTTATTGTTGGTGAACTATAAAACCCAGCAACTGCAACTCCCAAATGACATGGTCTATTTTCCTCAAACTCCACCAGTGTTCCCATTTGGGCACATTGAGTATTTGTGCCAAATTAGGTCCAGATCCATCATTGTTTGAGGCCGTAGTGCTCTCTGGATGTAGGTGAACTACAAGGCCAAAACTCGAGGTCAATGCCCACCAAACCCTTCCAGTATTTTCTCTGTATTTGGTCATGGGAGTTCTGGGTGCCAAGTTTGGTTCAATGCCATCATTGGTGGAGTTCAGAATGCTCTTTGATTGTAGGTGAACTATAAATCCCAGCAACTACAACTCCCAAATGACATGGTCTATTTTCCCCGAATTCCACCAGTGATCACATTTGGGCAATTTGAGTATTTGTGCCAAGTTTGGTCCAGATCCATCATTGTTTGAGTCTGCAGTGCTCTCTGGATGTAGGTGAACTACAACTCCAAAACTCAAGGTCAATGCCCACCAAATCATTCCCATATTTTCTGTTGGTGATGGGAGTTCTGTGTGCCAAGTTTGGTTCAATTCCATCGTTGGTGGAGTTCAGAATGCTGTTTGATTGTAGGTGAACTATAAATCCCAGGAACTACAACTTACAAAATCAGTCCGTATTGGGTATTTGTGCCAAATTTAGTTCCAATGAATGAAAACACATCCTGTATATCAGATATTTACATTACGATTCATAACAGGAGCAAAATTATGAAGGAGCCATGAAAATAGTTTTGTAGTTGGGAGTCACCACAACATGAGGAACTAGATTAAGAGGTCGCGGCATTAGGAAGGTTGAGAAACACCGTCCCTGAGGTTCCAGAGAGAACATTTAAATCCATAAATAATCAAATTGGCAAAGGTCAATCCTGCAAATGTGGAGATCTACCTGTAGTATTAGTCATAATAATAATAATAATAATAATAATAATAATGCTCAATTTTTCTCTTATTTTCAGAAAGATGCCAGGGAAAGAAGATGAAGGAAGGAGGGTCGGCCATAGATCCAGATTGGCAGTATCGTTTCAGAAAGGCCAGCTTCAATCAGCTTGGAAAGAAGAACTTCAGTCCAAACCTTTAGAAGAATCTCTCTCTTCTTCAGATTCTGCTGCTGGTGTTCAGCAAGGAAAGGGTGGGTGTTGGTTAGAGGTGGGAAGGTGTGAAAAAAGGAGGAAAAAGAGTGTTTCCCTATTTATTTCGGTTTTTTCTCCCAATTTTTCCATCTCCCCTCCCAATTTTTGCATTTTTTGTGGCCTTTCCATCTCTAGTGCTGGTGCACGTGGACTAGGTTTTCAAGGAAAGTTCCTTTTTGTGATAATAATAATAATAATAATAATAATAATAATAATAATAATAATAATAATACTTTGTTTGTACCCTTGCTACCATCTCCCCAAAGGACTCGGTGCGGCTTACATGAGGCCGAGCCCAAATACAATACAAGCAATAAAACAACAATATAAATAATTAAAATAAAAAACATAGACAATAAAATATACAACATTATCAATAAGACAGCACACAATTAAAAACAGTGGGAAGGCCAAATGTAAAATTAAAATTGGAAGTGATGCTGGGACATGGACGAAAAGTTGATAGTGGTGTTTGTGGAAGGGCATACGAGCAGACCTAAAGAAATGTAAAGTGCTTTGGAGGACAAAGTGCTATGGGATCATTATTCCGGGAAGGCACACTGGAACAGCCATGTCTTCAAGCTCCTCGTGAAGACTGCCATAGTTGGGGCCTGTCTGAGTGAGTTCCAGAGTCGAGGGGCCACCACCGAAAAGGCCCTCTCTCTCGTCCCCACCAAATGCACCTGCGAGGCTGGTGGGATCGAGAGCAGGGCCTCTCCGGATGATCGAAGGGATCGTATGGGTTCATATATGGAGATGAACATAATCTTTGTGCATGAAAAATTCTTATAGATGTTTCAGAAAAAAAAATATTTATGGACACGTGGACTTATGACTAGCATTTTCCAGTTTGTAGTCTTTCAGGGAAATTAAGAACTGTGAGAGTATAATAGAAACCTATAGAAATAGAAACCGGAGGACTGCCAAAGAGACATAAATTTACCAGGTATATTATGCATGTATGTGTGGCCACTGGAGGGTTGCGGGAAAGAGCCAGCTGTTATCCCAATAGGTCAGTGGTGGGTTGCCGTGGAGACCTAAATCAGTTAGGTGTATTATGTATGTATGGCCACTGGAGGGTTATGGGAAAGAGCCAGCTGTTATCCCAATAGGTCAGTGGAGGGTTGGCGTGGAGACCTAAATCAGGCAGGTGTATTATGTATGTATGTATGGCCACTGGAGGGTTGCAGGAAAGAGCCAGCTGTTCTCCCCAGAGGTCAGTAGAGGGTTGCCATGGAGACCTAAATCCCTGTTATTCCCAGAGGTCAGTAGAAGGTTGCCATGGAGACCTAAATCAGCCAGGTGTATTTTGTATTTATGTATGGCCACTGGAGGGTTGTGGGAAAGAGCCAGCTGTTACTCCAAAAGGTCACTGGAAGTTTGCGGGAAAGAGACAGATGTTGTCCCCAGAGGTCTGTGGAAGGTTGCCATTGAGAACTAAATCAGCCAGGTGTATTTTGTATGTGTTTATGGCCACTGGATTACAGGGTTGCAGGAAAGAGCCAGCTCTTACCCCAAGGGGTCACTGAAAGGTTGTGGGAAAGAGCCAGCTGTTATCCCCAGAAGTCAGTGGAGGGCTGCCATGTGGGCCTAAATCAGCTAAGTGTATTTTGCATGTATCTATGACCATTAGAGGGTTGCGGGAAAGAGCCAACTGTTATCCCCAAAGGTTAGTAAAGGGTTGCCATGGAGACCTAAATCAGCGAGGTATATTTTGTATGTATGTATGGCCACTGGATTGCAGGGTTTCAGGAAAGAGCTGCCTGTTACTCCAAGGGGTCACTGGAAGGTTGTGGGAAAGAGCCAGCTGTTATCCCCAGAAGTCAGTGGAAGAGCCAGCTGTTATCCCCAGAAGTCATGTGGACCTAAATCAGCCAGGTGTATTTTGCATGCATGTATGTATGGCCATTGGAGGGTTGTGGGAAAGAGCCCGCTCTTACTCCAAAAGGTCACTGGAAGGTTGTGAGAAAGAGCCAGGTGCTATCCCAAGAGGTCAATGGAGGGTTGACATAGAGACCTAAATCAGCCAGTTGTATTATTTATGTATGTATGTATGTATGGTCACTGAAGGTTGCGTGAATGAGCCAGCTGTTACCCTAGGAGACCACTACAGTGTTGCCACTACCTGAGGGATAGAGAAAGGAATGCTTTGTGTTTCAGTCTGCTGATAGAACCATCCCTACAACCATAAAAATTACCATTATTTTTACTAATAAATACCATTACAAAATGCAGACCCAGGCAATGCCAGGCAGCTGAGCTAGTTATATAATAAAAGCCACAGTTCACCAACAGATAAAACACATGGGATGGAGATAAGGGAATCTTAACAGTAGGAATGGTACCAGTATTGAATTTAACACAAAAGGCCAGGAGAAAACAAAAGTTGCATCTACACTATAGATTTAAAGCAGTTTGGCAGCTCTTGAACTCCCTTGGGAATCATTCAGTATTTTTTTTAAAAATGTGTCGTAAACCATCTTGAGCCCCTGACCTGAGGATAAGGCAGTATATAAACAAACAGGGAAACAACATCCAAATGCATGGGGAAGAGGATATTCTGTCAATATTGTGGGTGCTGAGAGAACCTATGCAATACATCCTTTTGTGATCGTATTCATGTTTTGCTTCTTTGTCTTCTCCTTACTTTTCCACCAACTTCCGCACAGTTTCTCTTTCACCCGCTGCCTCTTTTAAGAAGCCGCTCCTAGATGGTTTGGATCAGCCAGAAGACAGTGTCTCTAATAAGCAAATAGAGAAGAACCAAGGTAAATGTGAGTCTTGTACAAACAGCAGAACTTTAAAAAATATTTTTATTAAGAAAATTTTAAATTACTGTATATACTCGAGTATAAGCCTAGTTTTTCAGCCCCTTTTTTGGCTGAAAAAACTCCCCTCGGCTTATACTCGAGTCAAGGTTATTTACTATTTTATTCTGTTGTTAGTATTATTTTTATTTCATGTATAATTTTATTACATTTACAGAATTTTTCTCTATTATTATTATTATTATGATTATTACATTTATTATACTTTATTATTATTGCATTTATTATTTTACTCCATTATTACTGTTATTATTGCATTTCTATTATTTTACTTATTATTATTATTATTATTATTATTATTATTATTATTACGTCCATTATTTTACTCCCTTTATTATTGTTGGAAGGATACGTAAAAACATTTACATTGAAGAAGGTTAGAATAATGATTTAATCAGAGTTGGGCAGTCTTATCTCAAATTTCAATTTTATGTAAATATTCAACACCATTTCACCTCCTGATGCCTCAATTTTAGGCTGAAAAAGCTCCGCTCGGCTTATACTCGGTTATTTATTATTTTACTCTGTTATTAGTATTATTATTAGTATATTAGTTTTATTTCATGTATTATTTTACTCTCTTTATTATTATTATTACATTTACAGTATTTTACTCTATATTATTATTATTATGATTATTATTACATTTATTATTTTACACTATTTATGACTATTATTACATTTATTATTTTACTTTATTATGGCATTTATTATTTTACTCTATTATCAATTTTGTTATTTTACTCTATTACATTTATTGCATTTTCATTATTTTACTTTATTATTTTTATTATTATTATTATTACATTCATTATTTTACTCTATTATTGTTGGAAGGATACGTAAAAACATTTACATTGAAGAAGGTTAAAATAATGATTTAATCAGAGTTGGGCAGTCTTATCTCAAATTTCAATTTTATGTAAATATTCAACACCATTTCACCTCCTGATGCCTCAATTTTAGGCTGAAAAAATCCCCTCGGTTTATATTTGAGTCAAGGTTATTTATTATTTTACTCTCTTTATTATTATTACATTTACAGTATTTTACTCTATTATTATTATTATTATTATTATTATTATTACATTTATTATTTTACACTATTTATGATTATTATTACATTTATTATTTTACACTATTTATGATTATTATTAAATTTATTATTTTACTTTATTATGGCATTTATTATTTTACTATATTATTACATTTATTATTTTACTCTATTATTACTTATTATTACATTTATTATTTTACTTTATTATTATTATTATTACATTTATTATTTACTTTTTATTATTTTTTATTAAATTTGTTATTTTACTCTATTTATTGGCATTATTACATTTATTATTTTACTCTATTATATATTATTATTTATATATTATCATTTTATTATTTATTATTACATTTTATTCATTCATTATTTTACTTTATTATTATTATTATTATTATTATTATTATTATTATTACATTCATTATTTTACTCTATTATTGTTGGAAGGATATGTAAATATATTTACATTGAAGAAGGTTAGAATTATGAATCAGAGTTGGGCAGTCTTATCTCAAATTTCAATTTTACGTAAATATTCAACATCATTTCACCTCCTGATGCCTCAATTAATGTAGTTTTATTGGTATCTATTTTTATTTTGAAATTTACCAGTAGCGGCTTCATTTCCCACCCTCGGCTTATACTCGAGTCAATATGTTTTCCCAGTTTTCTGTGGTAAAATTAGGTGCCTCGGCTTATATTCGGGTTGGCTTATACTTGAGTATATACGGGTACATAAAAAGGGGTATGAGAAAGCAGGTCAAAGTGGTTAACAATAGGAAAATTCAATGCTCAGAACAACATAAAACAGTTCAAACAATTAAAACAGTAGCATATTAAACAATCAATTATACACCAATAAACATCTCGTTGACATCTCATAATTAGAATCAGGATCCAGTTATATTCCTATATTCTTTACACCGCCCAATCAAATGCCTGCTCAAACAACCAGGTCTTCACTTTCCTCCGGAATGATAACAAGGAAGGGGCTGATCTAATATCTGTAGGAAGGGTGTTCCACAGCCAAGGGGCCACCACTGAGAAGGCCCTGTCTCTTGTCCCCGCCAAACGTACTTGTGACGCAGGCAGGACTGAAAGCAGGTCCTCCCCAGACGATCTTAATGTTCTGGTGGGTTCACAGGAGGAGATGCGTTTGGACGGGGAGGGGGGGGGAGAGAGATCTCCTTTCCTTTCCTTCTTGCCTGTCGCTGGGCTGCTGGGAACTCACACGGGAGGGATTTCCCAGAATTCTGGTAAGGAATTCTGGGAAATGAAGTCCAGTATTCAAAGAAAGGACAAAAACCCACGCTCTGTGAGTTCAGAAAGGCTGTCCACAATCAAAACACTCCCAAAAGATGGCCATCCATTTTTACTTTATAACAACCCTGGGCTATATCTACAATAATAATAATATCTATATATCTATCATAATAATATCTGTCAATCTATAATAATATATATGTCTATGATATCTATATGTCTATAACTATAATATCTGTCTGTCAAAAATATCTGTACATTTATAACAATAATACTTATATGCCTATAATATCTATGTCTAGAATAATAATAATAATAATAATAATAATAATAATATCTATATAAAGTATAATGATATGTATACATCTATTATAATAATAGCTATATCATATCTATAAAATAACAATAAAAATAATAACATCTATATGTGTATAATAGTATCTATAGGTCTGTAATAATATCCATACATCTGTTGCCGGTTTTTGCTCGAAAGATATTGAGCCCTGTGCTCCTTCTATTTTTTATCAGTTTTATACTAATTTATGCAATGCTTTTGATATGAAATTGATAAATAATATCTATAATACTAATATCTATATAGCGTTAATAATAATATTTGTATCTATAATAATAATATCTATATGTCTATAATGACAACAATCTCTATATAATAACCCAGGGCTCCTCCACACAGCCATATAATAACCCTTTGGCCTCAAGGAGACTGAAAAGGGGCCTATCTTAGGTTGACACTTTGCCACTTCTGTTGTGTATTGATAGCTTAGAAACCACCTCTTCCTCTTTTCTTTCTTTCCTATTTCTCCACAATGAGCCACAGTAACGCGTGGCCGGGTACAGCTAGTCTATATAAATAAAAATGTAATGTTTGTTTGTGAGATTAACAGAACTCAAAAACCACTGGACGAATTGACACCAAATTTGGACATAAGACACCTCTCAGGCCAACAAGTGACCATCACTCAAAAAACCACCGAAAAACACAGCAGAAGGGACTTCCAGCCTTTCTCTTCTCTCCACTAGAAAATGAAATCTTCCACCAGCAGCGATGTGCTGCCATTACCAGTGATATGTGTGACATGCTCCTGGGCGAAGATCGTAGTTACCAAGGATGTATGAGTAGTGTGGCTGCATTCATTCTGGAGAGAGGTAAGCCACTGCTTGGGTTTTATATTAACTAGGTATTTTTAATTACAAAAATGTGAGTCAAGCACTGAAAGAGTTAAATGGATACAATGACTCAGCAAAAGCTGTAGTTTAGTAGGTCTCTGTGTTAGTTTCCCCTCAGTGTGAGGAGGCCTCAGTGTGAGGGAGGCCTCAGTGTTAGTAGGCCTCAGTTTGAGAAAGCCTGGTGTGAGAAGCTTCAGTGAGAGAAGCCCTAGGTTGAAGGCTATCATGTATGAAGCTTCAGTGTGAAGGCTGCTGTGTATAAAGCTCCTGTGTAAGTTCGGTGTGAGAAGAGACTCTGTGAGAGTGAAGCTGTTTAACTGACAAAGACCTCTAGTGTTTTGCTTAAAGCTACAAACCCCAGGTTTTGTTGGCAGTTACCAGTGAAATCATACTACTATAATTACGTGATGCAGAAGGGACTCTGGTTGTGTTCAGATAGTTTAACTTCATTGATATTTATTTATTTGTTTGTTTGTTTGTTTTTCCATGTCAGGAGTGACTTGAGAAATTGCAGGTTGCTTCTGCTGTGAGATAATTGGCTGTCCGCAAGGGAATGCCCGGATGTTTTACCATCCTGTGGGAGGCTGCTTTCATGTCCCCGCATGAGAAGCTGGAGCTGACAGACAGGAGCTCACCCACTTCCCCAGATTTGAACCTCTGACCTTTCAGTCAGCAGTCCCACCAGGACAAGAGTTTAACCCATTGTGCCACTGGGAGCGCCTATAGATATTTATACTAAGCTGAGATAATGTAGGATTTTGGCCATATAGCTGGTCACTGTAGGAAATTGGAGTGCATGATTTGGTGCATTGAGAGTATCATCTTAATGTAAAAGGGAAAAAATGCTATGTAGAATCGGCTAAGAAGGATGGAAAACACATCTGGATGAACTGTTGCATAGATTGCTGATAATTATGACAATAGCAGAAATCCCAGGTGTACTTTGGTATGATTTTGGACAATGTTTTTAATTAAGAGATACCAATGATTTATGTTTTTAATTGATTTTGCTAAGATATTATATCAGTGTTGCTCAACCTGGGGGTCAGGACCCCTGGGGGGGTCGCGAAAGGGTGTCAGAGGGGTCTTCAAAGACCATCAGAAAGCACAGTATTTTCTATTGGTCATCTGGGTTCTGTATGGAAAGTTAGGTCCAATTCCATCATTGGTGGAGTTCAGAATGCTCTTTGATTGTAGGTGAACTATAAATCCCAGCAAATACAACTCCCAAATGTCAAGGTCTATTTTTCCCAAATCCCGCCAGTGTTCACATTTGGGCATATTGAGTATTCCTTCCAAGTTTGGTCCAGATCCATCATTGTTTGAGTCCACAGTGCTCTCTGGATGTGGGTGAACTACAACTCCCAAACTCAACGTCAATAACCACCAAACCCTTCGAGTATTTTCTGTTGGTCATGGGAGTTCTGTGTGTTAATTTTGGTTCAGTTCCATCATTGGTGAAGTTCAGAATGCTCTTTGATTGTAGGTGAACTATAAATCCCAGCAACTACAACTCTCAAATGCTTAGTGTAATAGTTAATTTGGGCTAGAAGTTAGAAGAGACAGTGGTCCTAAGGGATAGTAGCCCTTTCATCTGTATTTTGAGCCTGTCCACGCAGTTGCAACTGACACACTCATGTTTCCTTTCCTACGACTCTCTCCTCAGAGGTTGACAACAGCCAGAGCTCCTACAAGGAGACGTATGAACTGGTTGCTCTGGGAACAGGAGACATTTGCTATGAAGGTTGGATGGAGTTTAATGGCAGGAGAGTCCATGACATGCATGGAATGGTGGTAGCCCGCAGAGCACTGCTGAGGTAGGGCATTATTTTCCCTCCATCCTCATGTTTATTATTAGCTAGCTTGGGGTCCCAGCGGTGCCTGGGTTGTTTGAAGAAGGCATTGTTTGTTTTGGGAAATTTGGTAATATCATGTAAGTAATTTGTAATGCTATTTTTAAGGAAAAAGCCAGTCTTTGATTTTGTTTTGTATAAATGTTCCCATTAGAAAATGCATAAGGATGTGGATAAACTACAATTTCCATAATGGTGGGTCAATCCTTCCCAAACCGTGCCAGTATTTATTTATTTATCGTGTCATCCGCAACCAGAACATTGTATTACATTTCTAACAGGACAAAACAAACAAACAGATAAAAAAACAAAAAAACAAACAAAAAACACAAATTTTGCAAACTTGGTAGCTGATTAAATGTCCTTTGACCAGTATCTGGCCACTTGGAGTGCTTCTGGTGTTGCCGCAAGAAGGTCCTCCATTGTGCATGTGGCAGGGCTCAGGTTGCATTGCAGCAGGTGGCCAGTGGTTTGCTCTTCTCCACACTCGCATGTCGTGGATTCCACTTTGTGGCCCCATTTCTTAAGGTTGGCTCTGCATCTTGTGGTGCCAGAGCGCAGTCTGTTCAGTGCCTTCCAAGTCACCCAGTCTTCTGTGTGCCCAGGAGGGAGTCTCTCATCTGGTATCACCCACGGATTGAGGTGCTGGGTTTGAGCCTGCCACTTTTGAACTCCCGCTTGCTGAGGTGTTCCAGCAAGTGTCTCTGTAGATCTAAGAAAACAATTTCTTGATTTAAGTCGTTGACGTGCTGTCTGATACCCAAACAAGGGATGAGTTGGAGATGTCTCTGCCTTGGTCCTTTCACTATTGGCTGCTACTTACCGGCGGATGTCAGGTGGTGCGATACCGGCTAAGCAGTGTAATTTCTCCAGTGGTGTAGGGCGCAGACACCCTGTGATAATGCGGCATGTCTCATTAAGAGCCACATCCACTGTTTTAGCGTGGTGAGATGTGTTCCACACTGGGCATGCAGACTCAGCAGCAGAGTAGCATAGCACAAGGGCAGATGTCTTCACTGTGTCTGGTTGTGATCCCCAGGTTGTGCCAGTCAGCTTTCATATGATATTGTTTCTAGCACACACTTTTTGTTTGATGTTCAGGCAGTGCTTCTTGTAGGTCAGAGAATGGTCTAGAGTGACTCCCAGGTATTTGGGTGCGCTGCAATGCTCCAGTGGGATTCCTTCCCAGGTGATCTTCAGAGCTCGGGATGCTTGTCTGTTCTTAAGGTGAAAGGCACATGTCTGTGTTTTAGATGCCAGTACTGAAGTTGGCCATGTTGGGTCTGTGTGCCAAGTTTGGTCCAGATCCGTCGTCGACTGGTTTCGGTGCTCTCTGGAGAAGGGTGAACTACAACTCCCTGATTCCCAGGACAATCACCCCCAAACCCTGCCAGTATTCAAAGTTGGGCATGTTGGGTCTATGTGCAAAGTTTGGTCCAGATCTGTTATTGAGAGGGTTCAGAGTGCTCTGGATGCAGGGTTAGATACAATCACAGGCTGACATGCAGCACCCTATAAGCGGACATCTCTGCCACATACACATTTTTCACTTTTATTATGTGTATACATTTATATTGTGTATAGATCATTTGACTTTTTGGTCCTAACATGAAAACTTAGGTTTAAAATAGAGACAGGCAGAAAGAAACAGAAGTGAAAAATATAAACAAAACTATGTATTTATTGTCGAAGGCTTTCATGGCTGGAATCACTAGGTACTTGTGGGTTTTTTCGGGCTATAGGGCCATGTTCTAGAGGCATTTCTCCTGACGTTTCGCCTGCATCTATGGCAAGCATCCTCTGAGGATGCTTGCCATAGATGCAGGCGAAACGTCAGGAGAAATGCCTCTAGAACATGGCCTATAGCCCGAAAAAACCCACAAGAACTTATAAACAAAACTATTTACAGAATTCAACTCGGTCCCAAGAGCTTAAAATCATTAGGCCTACCTAAGCATATTATTTATAGAACTACTCTCTGGAATTGAAGTGCATTTATCCCAAAGTTGAAGGCACAGAATAACAACAGCATCCACAAAGGAAGGAAGTCAATCAAAATCCTATCATTTCTCCACAGATACTTTTACAAGCAGCTCCTGAGGTACTGTAGCCAAGACCCCGCTGCTCGTGAGAAGTGCATCTTCTGCCCGGCAGGTGACGGAGTTCACTTGGCTCTGAAACCAAAGTACTTTTTGCATCTCTATCTGAGTCGAACGCCCAGTGGAGCTTCAGAGAATTTCCAGTGAGTAGTTTGTACGAGTACGGGCAGCCCCCAAATTATGAACAAGATAGGTTCTGTAGGTTTGTTCTTAAGCTGAATTTGTTTGTAAGTCAGAACAGATATACTTTAAGTGTAGCTCCAGATATCTATCTTATCTTATCTTATCTTATCCTATCTATCTATCTATCTATCTATCTATCTATCTATCTATCTATCTATCTATCTATCTATCTCCGCATGCTGAAATGGACACAGGCTTCCAAGGAGACCCTCAGGAGGAAGCCCACTCTTTCCAGTGTCTCACTATCCATCTGCTGAGACATCTATCTATTTTTCTTTCTATCTATCTATTGTATCTATGCATCCATCTATCCATTCATCCATCTACTGAGACATCTGTCCATCCATCTATCCATCTGTCCGGAATATAAATATATTAGCATATTTTTATTATTTATATTATATAATAAGTATATTATTATTATTTGAAACACAAGATGAGTACACAGCAAAAACAAGATGTCCTGAGTTTCCCTCCAAAAACAGCCTTTAGACAATGTTGAAAGTAAAAGAAAAATGCTTTACTTCAGCAAACACAAAGTATAAGCAAATGCAAGTGAAAAGTGCAAAAGAAAACAAGGAAGTCTTAATCCAGACACAAATTAAAGTCTCTTACAAAGTCCTAAAAGAAACACCAGTCTTCCATCAGACAGCAGGCAATGAACTAAGTCCTTAGCAGCAGACACAAAACGGATTCCATTGCAGTGAAAACATCAGTATCAGGGTCGTTGTTACCAATGAAAGCTGACTGCTCCTGCCTCTGATTTATAGCCCTGAATTCCCCCCGCAGGAGGTGCTAGGGTGTCTTGAGAGTCTTATAAAATACACATACATACATTCTTGTTTCGGTGCTAGGGTGTCTCCCAATTAGCTCAGAGTTTTTAGCAGCTATCCTAGCTGAACAGTGTGCTCTGTCTCTTTTCGTCTCTCTAGAAATGTGGGCACTTTCAAACCCTCCTCGTCTGATTCTTCTTCTCTCTCCAATACCTGAGAACTTCCCTGCTCCCCTTCCTCTTCCGAAGATGAGGAATCTCTAATACAAGATCACTGTGCTGGCTGTTGTATTGGATCACACGGTGGACACCTACCAAGTTGTTTTTGTTATTGTTGTTGTTGTTGTTGTTGTTATTTAGCAAGTTTCAGTCTGAGTTTGAGTGTGTGTTCTTGAATTATATTATTATGTTATATTATTATTATTTGTTGTTATTATTATTCTTCAGCAGGTCTGAGTCTGAGTTTGAGTATGTGTTCCTGGATAGCCATCTGTCAGGAGTATTTTGATTGTTTCCTACCTGGGGCATAATTGGTTTTGGACTAACACACAATCACTATGCTGGCTGTTGTATTGGATCACATGTTGGCCACTTCCCAAGGTGTTTTTGTTTTTGTTGTTGTTGTTATTTAGCAGGTTTGAGTCTGAGTTTGAGTGTTTGTTCTTGGATTATATTATTATTATTATTTGTTGTTGTTGTTGTTGTTCAGCAGGTCTAAGTCTGAGTTTGAGTATGTGTTCCTGGATAGCCATCTGTCAGGAGTACGTTGATTGTTTCCTACCTGGCATAATTGGGGTTGGACTAACTAGCTCTTGGGGTCTCTTTCAACCCAATGATTCCATGATTCTAAGTGCATCTTCCCATCTCTCGACTGATGTCATTCTCCTTTTTCCCCTTGTTCGCAGGACTGTCTCTTCACGGCCAAATCCGTCTGTCGGACTCCATATTAGCATCAAAGGGAAGCTCCGGCCTGCCTCGTACTGCCGCCCCAGTGTGCGCTCTGCCTTTGTCTATTGTGTCTCCGGCAGCGATAAACTGACCCGGTGGAGTGTTTTGGGCGTCCAGGGTGCCCTCCTCAGCCACATCATCCTCCCTGTGTATATCACAAGCGTCGTCGTAGGTGATTTGTTTTTCTGTGTTAGCATAAGAATGGAGACGCTTTGAAAAAGATCAGGCACTATTATTGCCATTGCCTTCCTTTGTGACTCAACAAGGGTAATTAAATTGGTTTCCATGGCTGAGCGGGGATTTTACCCTCGTCTCTGAGACTACTGATCAAATACTGAAACCACTACGGCATGATGTCATTTATCCCTGGAACCATATCAAAAGTCTGCATTATCCTTCTGAATAGGGTTTGGGAGAATTACCATGTGCTGTGCTCCCAAATTGTGTTGGCCTAAGGCTGGATATACAATGCCATATAATTAAGATTGCAGATCGGCCAGTATTGCCCATAGACACCTCCTAGGTCATATGGCCAGCATGACTGCATGGATCTCCGTTACCTTCCCACCAGAGCAGTACCTATTGATCTACTCACATTTGCATGTTTTCGAACTGCTAGGTTGACAGAAACTGGGGCTAAATAATAATAGAAATATAATAAAGTAGTGTAAATGTAATAATAATAATAAGAATAATAGAGTAAAATAATAATGTAATAATAACAATAATAAATAAAATAATAAATGTAATAAAAATAATAACAGTAATGTAATGTAAATGTAATAATAATAATAATAATAGAGTAAAATAATAAATGTAATAAAAATAATAATAATAACCCAGTAAAGTAATAAATAACTTTGACTTGGGGGACTTTTTCAGTCTAAAAAAAGCTCTGAAAACCCCGGCTTATACTTGATTATATATGGTAATCTGTATTCAGAAACTGCATTATATGATAGTGTAGATCAGGCATGCCCTCCATGTGTTTTGGATTTAAAATTCCACAATTCCTAACAGCCTATCAAAACACCTGGAGGGTTGAAGTTTGCCCATGCCTGCTGTTGATCCAGCCTCATTGTGTGGCTTATTCGCCTGTTTTTCTCACTCTCTTTTAATCTGTGCGTTCCAGCTGATCCTTACCAAGACCACACTGTCCTCCATGAAGTCGTCAACGATCGTGTGCAGCTGGGACCAGGGGATGGCTTACCAAAGCTCTATAGCCAGAAGCAGATGTATTTCTTTGAAGGCCCCCGCGTAGCCCCTCTTGATGCGCCTCCAGACTGTCGTTCCTTGAGCCTCAACTGGTGTGGTGGAGATGACATGCTGGAGCTTGTGAACGGGACTGTCGGGAAGGCAGTACAGGAGTAAGTTTGGGCAGTTGCGGGTGGTTGAGAAGGACATCCTGTGTATGTATTGTCACATTATTACAAACCAAATCATCCAATTTCTGCCAAGAATCACTGGGTTGCTGTGAAGTTTCCCAGGCCGTATGGTCATATTCCAGAAGCACTCTCTCCTGACATTTCGTCCACATCTATGGCAGGCATCCTCAGAGAGCCGGAGCTGACAGAGGGAGCTTATATGTGCTCTTCCCAGATTCGAACCCATTGCTCTGGCATAAATCTGTGATTTAAGATAAGACTGCCCAACTCTGATTGAACCATTTTGCTAACCTTCTTCAATGTAAATGTGTTTACCTATCCTTCCAATAATAATAGAGTAAAACAATAAATGTAATAATAATAATAATAATAATAATAATAATAATAATAGAGCAAAATAATGGAAATGTAATAACAGTAATAATAGAGTAAAATAAAAATAATATAATCATAATAAATAGAGAAAATAATAAATGTAATAATAATAAATAGGGAAAATAGTAAAAATAATAATAGTGTAAAGCAATGGAAATGTAATAATAACAGTAGTAATAGAATAAAATAATAAATATAATAATAATAGAAATAATAATAATAATAATAGAGTGAAATAATGGAAATGTAATAATAACAGTAATAATAGAGGAAAATTATAAATATAATAATAATAATAAATAGAGATAATAATAATAATAATAATAATAGAGTGAAATAATGGAAATGTAATAATAAGAGTAATAATAGAGGAAAATAATGAATATAATAATAGAGAAAATAATAAATATAATAATAATAATAATAATAATAAATAGAGATAATAATAATGATAATAATAGAGTGAAATAATGGAAATGTAATAATAACAGTAATAATAGAGTAAAATTGATTGCGCTCAGAGCTAGATTGCGCTCAGAGCTAGATGTGGGTATTGTTGCACTTTAAGATCCTGCACTTTACGAATTGTCCTAGTGACACGTAGCGGGGACGTCTTCTGTATTTGCACTTCAAGACTCTTGCACTTTATGAACTACCTAACTATCGCAGCTGAGACGTTGACTGCACTTTACTACGATCAATCTCACTGAAGTGTACTATTTCTACCCATGTGGTTCCCCACTCCCCTGTTTGTATTGTCCCTGATATTAGTGACTAGTGGAAGGGGCAAGGGACGAAGTGGGCTGGAGTCCGTGGGTAACAATGAGGTGGGGAGGGGGGAGAAAGGGAATCAAGGGAAGTGGCAAGAAAAAACGCCAACAAACCAAACAACTACTAACCAAACAGAAATTAAGACCTTGGACCTGGACTGCGGCATGGAGGAGGGGAGGTGTTCCACTAGCCGAGGGGCCCCCATAGAGGTCGTGGTGGGGAGGGGGAGATGCGGGAAAAGGAGACCTCAAATTCGGCCTAATTCGGACCGCTTATCTACATTAATAATCCCAAACCGGTCTCCTATGGTAAATTGGTGTAACCAGGCTGGCGGGCCCTCCGGATTGAAGGTGGTGCTGTTGAACGCCAGATCTGTCAACGGAAAAACGACCTTTATCCAGGATCTAATCCTGGATGAGCGGGCAGATCTGGCGTGCATCACGGAGACCTGGTTGGATGAAGCTGGAGGCGTGAATCTACCCAGCTTTGTCCTCCAGGCTTCTCCGTACAGCACCAACCGAGATCCGGAGGACGGGGAGGCGGGGTCACAGTGGTCTATAGAGATTCCATCCATCTGACCAGGAGTCCCATCCCGCAGACCACAAATTTTGAATGCGTCCACCTGAGGGTGGGTGACCGGGACAGAATAGGGATTCTGTTAGTGTACCGTCCACCTCGCTGCACTACAGTCTCCCTACCTGAGTTAGCGGGGGTAGTCTCGAGCCTGGCGTTGGAGTCTCAACGGCTTCTGGTGCTGGGAGACTTCAATATCCATGCCGAGGCGACCCTCACAGGAGCGGCTCAGGACTTCATGTCTGCCATGGCAACCATGGGGCTGTCCCAACAAATATCTGGCCCCACCCACTGTGCTGGACACACATTGGACTTGGTTTTCTGCCAGGGATGGGAGCAGGGTGGCGGTGTGGAGGAGTTGTCCATCTCTCCGTTGCCATGGACTGACCACTTCCTGATCAGATTTAGACTCATTGCGCCCCCCAACCTCTGCAAAGGTGGAGGACCCATTAAGTTGGTCCGCCCCAGGAGGCTTATGGATCCGAATGGATTCCTGACGGCTCTTGGGGATTTTCCCGCCACCTCGGTAGGTGACCATGTCGAGGCCTTGGTCGCTCTCTGGAATGGAGAGATGGCCAGGGCAATTGACACGATCGTTCCGGAACGTCCCCTTTCAAGTAGCCGAGCTAAACCAGCTCCTTGGTTTACTGAGGAGCTGGCAGTGATGAAGCGAAGGAGAGGGAACTAGAGAGCGGGTGGCGTTCGGATCCGAGCGAGTCAAATCACACGGTTTGTGTCCTCTTTAAGGGCATATGCCGCGGCAATAAAAGCCGCAAAGAAAACTTTCTTTGCGGCCACTATTGCGTCTGCAAAAAACCGTCCGGCGGAGTTGTTTCGGATTGTCAGAGGTCTTTTAACTCCCCCTATCTCAGGTGGGAGCCCTGACAATTCGGCAACGCGCTGTGAAGCATTTGCTCGGTTCTTTGCAGACAAAGTCGCTTTGATCCGCTCTGGGCTGGACGCCACATTAAATGCAGTCTCTGTGGATGTGTCACAAGCACCTGCTTGTCCGATTTTGTTGGATTCTTTTCAATTGGTGAAGCCCGAGGATGTGGACCAGATACTTGGAGGAATGAGGCCCACCACGTCCATCCTAGACCCCTGCCCATCCTGGCTTCTGAAGGAGGCCAGAGGGGGATTGGCTGAGTGGGTAACGGTGGTGGTTAACGCTTCCCTTCGGGAAGGCGAAATTCCAGCGAGCTTAAAACAAGCTATTATAAAACCGCTGTTGAAGAAACCATCATTGGATCCCACTAAATTTGACAACTTTCGGCCTGTTTCCAATCTCCCCTTTTTGGGCAAAGTCATGGAAAGCGTGGTGGCCTCACAACTCCAGGTATTCTTGAGAGACACGGATTATCTGGATTCGGCACAGTCTGGTTTCAGACCGGGACATGGAACTGAGACGGTCTTGGTCGCCTTAGTGGATGATCTGCGCCGGGAGCTAGACAGGGGGAGTGTGTCCCTGTTGGTGCTCCTGGACCTCTCAGCGGCCTTCGATACCGTCGACCACGGTATCCTTCTGGGGCGCCTTGCGGAAATGGGCCTCGGGGGCACTGTTTTGCAGTGGCTCCGGTCATTTCTGGAGGGCCGCACCCAGAAGGTGTTATTGGGGGACACCTGTCCTTTGACTTGTGGGGTTCCACAGGGCTCTATACTGTCCCCCATGCTGTTTAATATCTACATGAAGCCGCGGGGTGAGATCATCCGGAGTTTCGGGGTGCGGTGTCATCTGTACGCAGATGATGTCCAACTCTGTCACTCCTTCCCACCTGCTACTAAGGAGGCTGTCGAGGTCCTGAACCGGTGCCTGGCCGCTGTAATGGTCTGGATGAGGGCGAACAAATTGAAATTGAATCCAGACAAGACAGAGGTACTCCTGGTCAGTCGCAAGGCCGAACAGGGTATAGGGTTACAGCCTGTGCTGGATGGGGTCGCACTCCCCTTGAAGGCGCAGGTTCGCAGCTTGGGTGTGATCCTGGATTCATCGTTGAGCCTGGATCCCCAGGTCTCAGCGGTGACCAAGGGAGCATTTGCACAGCTCAGGCTCGTGCGCCAGCTGCGCCCGTACCTCGGGAAGTCTGACTTGGCCACGGTAGTACACGCTCTGGTCACATCCCGCCTTGACTACTGCAACGCTCTCTACGTGGGGCTGCCCTTGAAGACGGCCCGGAAGCTTCAGCTAGTCCAGCGCGCGGCAGCCATGTTACTAACAGGAGCGGGACGCAGGGAGCACACAACGCCCTTGTTGTTCCAGTTCCACTGGCTGCCCATCTGCTACCGGGCCCAATTCAAGGTGCTGGTGCTGGCCTACAAAGCCCTAAACGGTTCCGGCCCAAAATACCTTGCTGACCGCATCTTGGCCTATGAGCCCACGAGGACCTTGAGATCGTCTGGGGAGGCCCTTCTCTCGATCCCGCCTGCCTCACAGGCACGTCTGGCGGGGACGAGAGATAGGGCCTTCTCGGTGGTGGCCCCCCGGCTGTGGAACGCCCTCCCTGTAGATATCAGACAGGCGCCCTCCCTGATGGCATTCCGTAAGAGCCTAAAGACATGGTTATTTGAGAAGGCGTTTGACTAAGTGCTACAACAATTGGCAATGACGATCGGAACGGAATATGGATAACGAGTTTGGTTTATGATTCTACGATGAGACGGCGCGGATGATTTAGTGTAATTGTATTATTGATAGTTATGTTGTTATGTTGATTTTGTTGTGATATTGCCTATTGTAAACTGTTTTTATGTGTTGTACACCGCCGTGAGTCGCCCTAGAGCTGAGAACGGCGGTCAACAAATGCAGTAAATAAATAAATAAATAATAGAAAATAAAATAATAAATATAATAATAACAAATAGAGAAAATAATAAATGTAATAATAATAGAGATAATAATAATAATAGAGTGAAATAATGGAAATGTAATAATAACAGTAATAATAGAATAAAATAATAAATATAATAATAATAAATAGAGATAATAATAATAATAATAGAGTGAAATAATGGAAATGTAATAATAACAGTAATAATAGAGTAAAATAATAAATATAATAATAATAAAAATAGAGAAAATAATAAATGTAATAATAATAAATAGAGAAAATAATAATAATAGAGTAAAATAATGGAAATGTAATAATAACAGTAATAATAGAGTAAAATAATAAATATAATAATAATAGCAAATAGAGAAAATAATAAATGTAATAATAATAATAAATAGAGAAAATAATAAATGTAATAATAATAGTAACTAGAGTTAAATAATGAATGTCATAATGACAACAATAATAATAAAGTAAAATAAAAAAGTAATAATAATGATGATGATGATGATGAATAGAGTAAAATAATAAATGTAATAATAATAATAATAACCCAGTAAAATAATAAATAACTTTGACTCGAGTATAAGGTGAGGGGGGCTTTTCCAGCCTTAAAAAAGGGCTGAAAAACTCCATATATACTCGAGTAAATACGGTAAATAAACACATGTATTGATAGCCTAAACAGGAGATGGTTGGGAGTAATAAATCAGATATTCTGCATGGTTCCAAAATTTGTATTGACAGCCTAAACAGTTGTACGTCCCATTCAAATGTCCTTCCACCTTCTTCCCTGACAACCTCTGATGTAAGATTTAAAAATGTATTCATGTCGGTTACTCTTGTTTTATGCAACTGCCTTGCATGTGGGAAGAGGAAACCATTTGGCGTTGTTGTTCATGACTGACATATATACAGTTTGTGTTGGGATCTTGAGCCAGGATTCTGCAATTCCCACTCTGCCTTCTGTTTGTGATCTTTTCTTGGTACAGTGGCGGAATTGTGCTGGGATGCCTTGTTGTTTCCTTGAAAGAAAACCTGCTTTGTTCTGTGGCTCAGTGTTGATTCGTGTCGTGCCTCCCTTTCCCTTCCCTCAGCATGGCACACCCAGGAGACCAGTACCGCCCCAGTCGGCTCTGCAAGGCCACCATGTGGAGCATGTTTAGAAAGGTGGCTCGGGAGATGAAGAGAGAGGACTTGACATCGCTACCCACATACCACGAAGGCAAAGTGAGCCCCTTCCATTCTTCAAAGGGCTGTTTGTTATTTTTTACCTGGGTTATTTGAAAAAGGCATTGTTTGTTTCGGGGTGTTATTATTTGTTTTGTTATTTATGAATGCTCCCATTCGAAAATGCATAAGGATGTGGATGAACTGCAATTCCCAAAATCGTGGGCCAATCACCCCAAACCCCGCCTGTATTCAAAGTTGGCCATGTTGGATCTGTGTTCCAAGTTTGGTGCATATACAACGTTGGGTGTATTGTGTGCTCTCTGGATAAGGACGAACTACAACTCCCAGATCCAAGGACAATCACTCCCAAACCCCACCTGTATTCAAAGTTGGCCATGTTGGATTTATGTGCCAAGTTTGGTGCAGGTCGAACGTCGGCTGCGTTCAGTGCTTTCTGGATAAGCGTGAACTACAACTCCCAGATCCAAGGACAATCACCCCCAAAACCCACCTGCATTCAAGGTTGGCTGTGTTGGATCTGTGTGCCAAGTGTAGTGCCCATCCAACGTTGGCTGTGTTCAGTGCTCTCTGGATAAAGGCAAACTATAACTCCCAGATTCAACGACAATCAATCCCAAAGCCCACCAGTATTCAAAGTTGGCCACGTTGGATGTGTATGCCAAGTTTGGTGCCAATTCAACACCGGCTGTGTTCAGTGCTCTCTGGATAAGTGTGAACTACAACTCCCAGATCCAAAAACATTCACCAACAAACTTGGCCACCAGTATTCAAAGTTGGGCATGTTGGATGTGTGTGCAAGGTTTGGTGCAGATCCAACATTGGCTGCGTTCAGCGCTCTCTGGATAAGTGCAAACTACAATTCCCCGATCCAAGGACGTTTGCCCCCAAACCCCACCAATATTCAAAGTTGGCCATGTTGGGGGTGTGTGCCAAGTTTGGTGCAGATCCATCATCAGATGGGATCAGTGTTCTCTAAAAATAGGTGAACTATAACTCTTGGATGTCAAGGTCAATCACGCTCAAACCCCAGCAGTATGCAAAGCTGATTTTTTTGGGGTCTGTGCACCAGGTTAGTTCCAGGTGGGGTTCAGAGTTTAGATTGCAGGTGAACTATACATCGCAGTCCCTACACTTCCTATAAATCATGGTGAATTCTCCCCAAACCTCTTTCTCTAGAGCAATGTTCCTCAACCCTCCTAATGCCGCTTCCGCTTAATCCAGTTCCTCATGTTGTGGTGACCCCCAACCATAAAATTATTTTTGTTGCTAGTTCATAACCGGAATTTTGCTACTGTTATGTATCGCAATGTAAACATCTGATATGCAGGATGGATTTTCATTCACTGTACCAAATTCAGTACAAATACCCAATACAACCAAATTTGAATACTGGTGGGGTTGGGGGTTGATTTTTTCATTTGGGAGATGTAGTTGCTGGGATTTATAGTTAACCTACAATCAAAGAGCGTTCCGAACTCCACCAGTGATGGAATTGAACCAATCTTGGCACACAGAACTCCCATGGCCAACAGAAAATACTGAAAAGGTTTGGTGGGCATTGACCTTGAGTTTGGGAGTTGTAGTTCACCGACATCCAGGGAGAACTGTGCACTCAAACAATGATGGATCTGGACCAAACTTAGCACAAATACTCAGTATGCCCAAATAAGAACATTGGTGGAGTTTGGGGAAAATAGACCTTGACATTTGTAATTGCTGGGATTTATAGTTAACCTGCAATCAAAGAGCACTTTGAACTCAGCCCACAATGCATCTGCACCAAACTTTGCACACTACCTTCAAGGCCAACATTGAATACTGGTGGGGGAGAGGGAGCTGTTTTTGAATTCTGGGAGTTGTAGTTCGCCAACACCAAAAAGGGAGAGACTGATAGGCGGAGAGATCTTCAGCCTTCTTTGACAAAAGAGTTCCTAAGACCATCAGTAATATGTGTTTTCTGGTGGTCTTTGGCGACCCCTCTGAAACCCCCCTCGCAACCCCCACCCCATGGGTCCCAACCTTCAGGTTGAGAAACACTGCTCTAGTATGTTCAGTTGCTGTGTGCCATAGAAAAGAATAGGAAAGAGTTAAGGGAGAGGCAGCGGGCGGGGTCATGCAAATTTCACACCAATTGAGAGAGAAAGGAACACTGGGATGTGGTTTGCTGTAACCTGCAATGTCCTTGGAGGGAGGGCTTTGGCGGCTCCTCAGCACTGTGGGTTATAGCTCTTAGTGGAGGCCGGACATTCCTGCCACATGCACACATACAGATTCACTTTTTTGATGTGTATAGATAGATTTGTTTGGAGCAGGAACTTTCTCGCCATTATAGAGAAATGTTACATCTCACTTTTAAATTTTCCTTCTTGATTCTTCCAACTCCAGGTCCAAGCGGAAGCCTATCAGAGTGCCAAGCTCCAGATGTACACGCAGCTGAGATTGCAGGACTTTGGCAAGTGGCCCCAAAAGCAGTTGGTGGACAACTTTGCCAGCTAGGTTGCCCTTGCAGCTAAGCCAGTCCTTGCATATTGAAAATCTTTTGATGGAGAGGTGTATGAATGCAAGGCCTGTCATCTTTGTTGAGTCAAATACTGTTGTTGCGTTTGGGAGGGAGTTAAGAGCTGGAGATATTTGTTTAGATGGTTTTTCGGTGGGTCTGTTCTCATTATGCTTTTCCTATGATAGAATAGGAAGGATGGCGTGGAATTTAGGTTTGTAGTGGCTCCTCAAAGGGACTTGTATATCAGAGACCTTGCATGTTTCTCCTTTGTTTCTGTAGTCATAGTTCAACACATTTGGATGTAACATTTATCAGTCGCGAAACAAGCCATGGTTTCAGCATGGGCGCTGTTTCCATTCTTTCTCCCATACAGCCACAAGGAAATTAGACAATATTTACTTCCATTACTGTGCAAAAAAACCTTTCTGTCTTGTATTTTCGAAGGCTTTCATGGCCAGAATCACTGAGTTGTTGTGAATTTTCCAGGCTGTCTGGCCATATTCCAGAAGCATTCTCTCCTGACGTTTCACCCCCATCTATGGCAGGTATCCTCAGAGGTTGCGAGCTCTGTTGAAAACTAGGAAAATGGAGTTTATATATCTGTAATATCAGTAACTAGCCGTCCCCTGCCACGCGTTGCTGTGGCCCAGTCTATGTATATGTGTTTTGTGTGTGTATATATGTGTTTATGTGTATGTATATATTTGTGTATAATCTCAGAGGTTGTGAGGTCTGGGTTGTTGTAGGTTTTTCGGGCTATATGGCCATGTTCTAGAGGCATTCTCTCCTGACGTTTCGCCTGCATCTATGGCAAGCATCCTCACGACCTCTGAGGATGCTTGCCATAGATGCAGGCGAAACGTCAGGAGAGAATGCCTCTAGAACAGTGGTTCTCAACCTGTGGGTCCCCAGATGTTTTGGCCTTCAACTCCCAGAAATCCTAACAGCTGGTAAACTGGCTAGGATTCCTGGGAGTTGTCGGCCAAAACACCTGGGGAACCACAGGTTGAGAACCACTGCTCTAGAACATGGCCATATAACCCGAAAAACCTACAACAACCCTGTGATTCCGGCCATGAAAGCCTTCGACAATATGTTGCGAGGTCTGTTGGAAACTAGGAAAATTGGGTTTATATGTCTGTGGAATATCCAGGGTGGGAGGAAAAAAACTCTTGCCTGCTTTAGGCAGGTGTGAATGTTTCAATTGGCCACCTTAATTAGCATTTGATGGCCTAGCAGTTTCAAGGTCTGGCTTCTTCCTGGGGAACCCTTTGTTGGGAGGTGATTAGCTGGTCCTGATTGTTTCTTGTCTGGAATTCCTCTGTTTTTGAGTCTTGCTCTTTATTTACTGTCATGATTTTGGATTTTTTTTAAATACTGGTAGCCAGATTTTGTTCATTATAATGGTTTCCTCCTTTTCTGTTGAAATTGTCCACATGCTTGTGGATTTCAATGCCTTCTCTATGTAGTCTGACATGGTAGTTGTTAGAGTGGTCCAGCATTTCTGTGTTCGAGTTATTATTATTATTACATTTATTATTTTCTCTATTTTTATTTTACTTTATTATTATTACATTTATTATTTTTACTCTATATTATCATCATTATTATTACATTTTTACTCTAGTTACTATTATTATTATTATTACATTTATTTTTACTCTAGTTATTATTATCATTATTATTATTATTACATTTATTTTTTACTCGTTACTATTATTATTATTATTATTATTACATTTATTTTTTACTCTAGTTGCTATTATCATTATTATTACATTAATTTTTTACTCTAGTTAGTATTATTATTACATTTATTATTTTCTCTATTTATTATTTTACTTTATTATTATTACATTTATTTTTTTACTCTAGTTATTATTATTATTATTATTATTATATTTATTATTTTCTCCATTTATTATTATTACGTTTATTAGCATATGGACAATCTCAACAGAAAGGAGGAACACAATCTGGCTACTAGCATTACAAAACTCTAAAATCATAACAGTAAATAAAGAACAATATTCAAAAACAGGGGAATTCCAGACAAGGGCCAGGTAATCACTTCCCAACAACGGATTCCCCCAGGCTGGAAGCAGCCAGAGCTTGAAACTGCTAGGCAATTAAATGCTAATCAAGGTGGCCAATTGAGACGTTCACACCTACCCTAAACAGATAAGACTTCTTTCTCCCACCCTGGACATTATTCCACAGATATATAAACCCCATTTTCCTAGTTTCCAACAGACCTCACAATCTCTGAGGATGCCTGCCATAGATGCAGGCGAAACGTCAGGAGAGAATGCTTCTGGAACATGGCCATTCAGCCTGGAAAACTCACAACAACCCACTTTCTGTCTGTCTGTCTTTCTTTATTTTAATGAATATTGATTTTTTAAAATCCTATATTTATTTTTCTCTCCCTGCTCAAATGCCATTGTAATAATTAATGGTCAGATTCCATACCTGTCTAGGCATATTTTAAACAGAATTGCAAATTAGCTTCTTCAGTTTGTCCTGTTCAGATCTCAACATTACTATTCCATTTGAGGATGAATTACATTAATACCCAACACCTTGCTGTTTAATTGTATACTTTGTATTCATTGGTGTTGGTTTGTAATGTTTGTTTGGAAATACGTTGGCTTGCTCTGTGTTTGTTTACAAATGTGTTTCCTGTTTTTGTGGAACCATCATACTAAAGATGTGTTTCCTTTTGACTTGTCTATGGCTGTTTGTTCAAACTGAAATAGAATTTGTGCATTGTGAATGTACATCTAATTCAAAATGGTGTCCAGTGCAATCATTTCCTCTGATATGCCTAAGGGTTATTTTTGTATGCAAATTACCGTATATACTCGAGTATAAGCCGACCCGAATATAAGCCGAGGCACCTAATTTTACCACGAAAACTGGAAAAACATATTGACTCGAGTATAAACCGAGGGTGGGAAATGCAGCCGCTATGGGTAAATTTCAAAATAAAAATAAATACCAATAACATTACATTAATTGAGGCATCAGGAGGTGAAATGTTTTTGAATATTTACATAAAACTGTAATTTAAAATAAGACTGCCCAACTCTGATTAAATAATTATTTTAACCTTCTGTGTAAATATACTTGCACATTCTTCCAACAATAATAAAGAGAATAAAATAATAAATGTAATAATAATAATAATAATAATAATAACAATAAAATAAAATAATGGAAATGCAATAATAACAGTAATAGTAGAGCAAAATAATAAATGTAATAATAGAGTAAAATAATAAATGCAATAATAATAAAGTATAATATATGTAATAATAATAATAATAATAGGGTAAAATACTGTAAATGTAATAATAATAAAGTAAAATAATACATGAAATAAAAATAATACTAATAACAGAATAAAATAATAAATAACCTTGACTGGAGTATAAGCCAAGGGAAGCTTTTCCAGCCTAAAAAAGGGGCTGAAAAACTAGGCTTATACTCGAGTATATACAGTAAGTGTAGAAAAACACAATATTTTTTTTTTGATAGACTGCTGAGAATCTTGTCCTGAATTTCAAGGAAAGGAAAATTATTCCAGCAAAAGAGCTCATATTTTTTCAGATGCAAGAGCAAGACCACCAAGAGAGATATCTGAAATGAGGTCTCTTCTACTATGATGGTTTCTGGAATTTAACAGCCTCAGCAAAGGCCCCATTTGCATGTCCCACCATTTCAAGATACCAGATTGCTCAGCTATTTTTCTAAAGCAGTGGCACTTCCTTTGTGAACTCTGTTATGAAAAGCCAGCTTCATTTTCCCTCTCTTATCTCTCATGGCAAGTTTTTGTGGCAAGTTTGTGGCAAATTCTTGGTGGTATGGGCATACCAAATGACCTTATCTGTTGCAACTCAGGGTAGTTTTCACCTTGCTCCAGACACCACCACACCAAAGCTGTAGATTTTGTAGTTTATTGAGAAAAAAACAAAATCAAAACAGAGTATATGAAATGCATAAAACCCATAGGCAGGACAAAGGCTTAAATGCAAAGACACGGTTCCCAAGATCCAAAGGCAAAAACCATGAAGCATAATCCTTTAGCAATGGTCAAACAAGAGTCCTGGAAAACAGTTGAAAACAAGGCCCAAAACCCAGACTCAGGAAGCCAGAAGCGTGCTGCTAAAAGCCAAACTTAATCCACAGAAGTTTTCATGCGAAGAGGCTACATTGGACTGACAGCCCCTGCTTGTCAGCTACAAGGCTAAATAACCTTTGCAGACATGAACGCATTGCGTTGACCCTTGGACTCCTTGGCTTCTCGCTTGCTGGCCAAGCGAGAGCTTCTCCGGAGCCTTAATTGCAGGCAATCTTGCCTGCTCATTAATTCATTATCTTCAAGGCTATGCAACCCCTTATCTTGGTCCAGCTTGATCACTGTGGGAAGGCAACGATGTCTCCACCTGGCCATGTGGGAATTCACTCTCGTTATCAGTCTCACTAACATTCTTTTTCCCTGGGAACTGACTTGCTGTTTCCCCTTCAGCAGCCCCACCGTCAGGCCTGTCTGAAACATGTACAGAAATCTGTAACCCATCATCTCCCTCGTCATCCTGTAGGAATTCCGGCTCACAGAGCTCAGCTTCAGACTCAGAGTCAAGCTGAGTCACAACACTATCTCTCTCCTGAGGAATCTGTATAAGGACCAAGTAGCAACAGTAAGAACCGACCATGGAACAACAGACTGGTTCAAGATTGGGAAAGGTGTGCGGCAGGGTTGTATCCTCTCCCCCTACCTATTCAACTTGTATGCAGAACACATCATGCGATGTGTGGGGCTTGATGAATGCAAGGACGGGGTGAAAATTGCTGGAAGAAACATTGACAACCTTAGATATGCAGATGACACCACATTGATGGCCAAAAGCGAGGAGGAGCTGAGGAGCCTTCTAATCAAGGTGAAAAGAAGAAAGCGCAAAAGCTGGGTTCCAGCTAAATATAAAAAAACAAGATTCTGGCAAGAAGAATGATTGACAACTGGGAAATAGAGGGAGAAAACGTCGAGGCAGTGACAGGGTTTGTATTTCTGGGTGCTGAGTGCAGACCAGACTGAGGCCAGGAAATCAGGAGACACTTACTTCTTGGGAGGAGAGCAATGACCCATCTCGATCAAAGAGTGAAGAGTAGAGACATCACACTGGCAACGAAGATCCACATAGTTAAAGCAATGGTATTCCCCGTAGTCACCTACGGATGTGAGAGCTGGACCAGAAGGAAAGCCGAGTGAAGGAAGAGAGATGCTTTTGAACTGTGGCATTGGAGGAAAGTTCTGAGAGTGCCTTGGACCATCAGAAGATCCAACCAATCCATACTTCAGGAAATAAAGCTTGACTGCTCACTGGAGGGAAGGCGATTAGAGGCCAAGATGAAGTACTTTGGCCACATCATGAGAAGAAAGGAAATCTTGGAGAAGAGAATGATGTTGGGGAAAATGGAAGGAAAAAGGAAGAGGGGCCAACCAAGGGCAAGATGGATGGATGTCAAGTAGGAAAATTAAGTACCACCTTAGTGGGGAGGCTAAATTAACTAATTTATGAGGCCATAAAGAAGACTCCAGCAAAGCATTTCAGCGGGGAAGCATGCGGGGAATGCGGAAGCACTTCATCAGCATCACAGATGGACGATGAAAGCGACAGCTCCCCTGGCGGTCAGAAAAAAAAGTTAAATAGCCTCTCTGTATGTCTGTATATGTTTGTATGTCAAAAATTGGCATTGAATGTTTGCCATATATGTGTACACTGTAATCCGCCCTGAGTCCCCTGCGGGGTGAGAAGGGCGGAATATAAAAGCTGTAAATAAACAAACAAACAAATAAATGGCATCCTTTAAGTGAATGGATTGACCTTGAAGGAGCTGGGGGTGGTGACGGCCGACAGGGAGCTCTGACCTGAGCTGGTCCAGGAGGTCACGAAGAGTCGGAAGCGACTCAATGAATTATTATTATTATTAATAATAATAATAATAATAATACCCCGCTACCATCTCCCCAAGGGTCTCGGAGAGGCTTACATGAGGCCAAGCCCAACAGTACATCAATAAACAAAAGCAATAAACAAAAACAATAAATACAATACAATTAATATAAATCACATATAAACAATAACCAATAAACAGTAATACACAAGGATTTAAAAACCTATGGCCGGGCCAAATGTAATAGTTTAAAAATTAAAAAATAACGCTGGGCATGAACAAGGTAGGATATATCTGGTATAGGGTTTTCAAAGAGATGAGGGAACGCAGTCAACCCTAAACCAGTAGTACAGTGCATTCTGAGGGCATATTGCTCAGAATTTTCCTTATTCTGGGAAGGCACACTGGAACAACCACGTTTTCAGGCTCCTCCTAAAGACTGCCAGAGTTGGGGCATGCCTGATCTCCTTGGGAAGTGAGTTCCAGAGTCGGGAGGCCACCACCGAGAAGGCCCTCTCCCTCGTCCCCACCAATTGCGCCTGCGAAGGAGGTGGGAGCGCGAGCAACAACAATCTCTCATGGAGCCCTATGGTTCCATGGAACTTGCTTGAGAAGCAACTGAATGAATAAACAACATTATTCTAGGGTTTTCTTGGCAAAGTTTAGAGGTTTGCCATTGCGAATGTGAGGTGCATCTATATGGTAGAATTAATGCAGTTTGACACCACTTCAACTTCATACCTCAGTGTGGTGGAATCATTGGATTTTGTAGTTTGGTGAGGCATCCGCATTCTGTGGCAGAGAAGGCTAAAGACCTTGTAAAACTACAATAATTCCATAGCAATGTGTCTTGGGAGTGAAATGATTTAAAACAACAGACTGGTTCAAAACCTCACTACCTCTGAGGATGCTTGCCATAGATGCAGGCGAAATGTCAGGAGAGAATGCCTCTAGAAAATGGCCATATAGCCCGAAGAAACCTACAACAACCCACTGGTTTTAAATTGTATGAATGTTTTATTGTCGAAGGCTTTCATGGCTGGAATCACTGGGTTGTTGTAGGTTTTTCGGGTTATATGGCCATGTTCTAGAAGCATTCTCTCCTGACATTTTGCCTGCATCTATGGCAAACATCCTCAGAGGTTGAGGTCTGAACGTTACCATTTGGATGCACCTTCACATCCTCTGTGTCACCTGGTAGGTATCCAAGCAGAGATCCTGAACAGCTCTCACAGTCAGGAAGTTCTTCCTAATGTTCAGATGGAATCTCCTTTCTAGTAGTTTGAAGCTATTGTTCCAATGCGTCCTAGTCTCCAGGGCTGCAGAAAACAAGCTTGCTCCCTCCTCCCTATGACTTCCTGTCACATATTTATACATAGCTGTCATGTCTCCTCTCAGACTTCTCTTCAGGCTAAACATGCCCAGCTCTTTAAGGCGCTCCTCATAGGGCTTGTTCTCCAGACCCTTGATCATTTGAGTCGCCCTTCTCTGGACACATTCCAGCTTGTCAATATCTCTCTTCAATGGTGGTGCCCAGAATTGGACACAATATTCCAGGTGTGGTCTAACCAGGGCATTCTCACTTACTTACACACACAAACATCCCGCAATCACATCTCAGCCCTTTCTTTTTGGGTTGGAGAAATAACCTCATACGGTATATAACTCAGAGCCAAGAGGAGGACAGAAATGGTTTATTGTTTATGAGTTAGTGCTGACAGACAGAATATGGAAAGGGAAGTTTAGGATTGATGGGGTGCACGAGGAAAGGATCCATTATTGCAGGGTTTCCTGGAAATGCGCAATTGGACAGAAATTGTGGAGTTGTTAAGAAAAACACAAACCATACACACAACCCGCCTTCCTTTAAAAACAAAAGTCTTTGCCTGTGTAGTCTATAATTGAAGTCATGCAGAAGTTGTGATTGCTCAGTGTAAAAAGGGACTGGTTGACAGTCTTAAAAGTAAAGTCTGCTCATCTAGAACCCTGGTCATGTTGTTGTTTCTCTCTCTCTAGACTCGCCTGCTATTCTCCAAAGAGTGTGTCCCAGCGTTTCATGAGGGTCATTCTAGAAGAGTTTTTCAAACTGTGCTGCAAGTCTTTTGGACTTCAGCTCCCAGAAATCCCAGCCAACCTACCAGCTGTTAGGAATTGTGGAAGCTGAAGTCCAAAACACCTGGAGGAGCAGAGTTTGAGAAACTCTGTTCTAGAGCGGGTGGTGTGAATGTTAAGCTGAAGTCCAAAACATCTGGAGGAGCAGAGTTTGAGAAACCTAGAGCAGGTGTTCTACTCTAAGGGCGGTATGGCCATATTCCAGAAGCATTCTCTCCTGACATTTTGCCTGCATCTATGGCAGACACCTTCAGAGGTTGTGAAGTCTCACAACCTCTGAGGATGCCTGCCATAGATAATAATAAATAATAAACTTTATTTCTACCCCACCACCATCTCCCCGATGGGGACTCGGAGCAGCTTACATGGGGCCAAGCCTGGACAACATAATGCAGCAATAAAATCAAAACATATACAACAGACAACAACAACAAGGAAAAAAATCATAAAATAAACATTCCAATAAACACAATCACGGTAGTGATGACAATGGGCGGGCCACATATTCAGGATAAAAACAGTTAAACTATGATGAGATAAAATAGGAGGAGGACGTTTATATGAAACTCATAAAACACACAGAGTTCTGAGGCTGGACATCCTTTTTGGAGGGCACAAACTCCATTAGCAGAAAACGTTGAGGGGTGCAAAATATCATGCTGTGCACCTACTCACCAAAGGCGCAGAGGAAAAGCCAGGTTTTAAGGTTCTTTTTAAACATTTCTAGTGAAGGGGCTTTCCTGATCTCTCCAGGTAAGGAGTTCCAAAGTTGGGGGGCCACAGAGGAGAAGGCTCTCTCCCTTGTGCCCACAAGACGAGCTTGTGGGATTGGTAGAGGCGAAAGGAGGACCTCCCCCTAGGAATGAAGGGCCCCGGTTGGTACGTGGAGCGAGATACGTTCACAAAGGTAGGCTACAAACCATTTAGCGCTTTGTAGGTAAAAACCTGTACCTTGAATTGGGACCGGAAAATAAATGACAGCTAGTGGAGCTCCTTAAACAGGGGTTGATCGCTCCCTATAACTAGCTCCAGTTATTAATCTGGCTGCAGAGCGTTGGACAAGTAGTTTCCGGGCCCCACACAGAAAGCATTACAGTAGTCCAGTCTAGAGGTAACTAAGGCATGGACCACCATGGTCAAGTCAGACTTCATGAAGTATGGTCGCAGCTGGCGCACAAGTTTTAATTATGCGAAGGCCCTCCCGGCCACCGCCGACACCTGCGCATCAAGCATCAGCGCTGAATCCAGGAGGACCCCCAAGCTGCAGGCAAAACGTCAGGAGAGAATGCTTCTGGAATGTGGCCATACAGCCTGGAAAACACACAACAACCAGGGATTCTGGCCATGAAAGCCTTTGACAATACACAAATAACATTCACACTTAGCTCCAGCAGACAAGAGTCCTTTGTCTCACTCCGGTCATTCCACAGATATATAAACCCTTTTTCCTAGTTCCAACAGACCTCACTACCTCTGAGAATGCTTGCCATAGATACAGGCAAAACGTCAGGAGAAAATGCCTCTAGAACATGGCCATATAGTTCCTGGAAGCTGAGACAAGGGAGTAGAAATTTCCCTGGAACCTCCCCAAACCCAAATTCCCAATACTTAGGGGAGTTAATGTATGCTTGGGATGCAGTTACGTGTATAGCAATCTACACGTAGTAGCCAGAGGGAGCAGAGAGAAACAAATCTGGTATTTATATTAGTCTGAAAACCTCCCACACTGAAATAAGAGGCGGATTTGGGGACGAAAGTTCAAAAAGGACATGTTTGTGAATAGCCAATGTGAAGTGATGTTGCGTGCATGCTCACAATGCTGAATGTGCAATGTTTTGAAGGCAAAAAAAAAAAATTCAGGAAAATCACGATACTCTTGTTGCAAAGGAATTAACCTTGTATAAAATCCTTTTCCCCTTCTCTGCTTTTTCTTTTGCAACTCTTGATCCTTCCTTTGGCCGCTGTGGGACGGCAGAGCGCTGAATTCGTGTCTGCATCGGAGGATCGGACAGGATGTGGCCGCTAGCGAGAAGGTATCAGCTGGGCAGGGACGGATATTATGGCTCCAAGGTCATAAAAATGAGATAAAGGAATCAAAGGCTGCTTTGCCAACCAAAGTCCTATTGTGCATATGAAGAAGAGGGGAAGTCCAGGTGCCGTTAGCAGTGGCGCAGACCCAAAGGGAACTGACCCCCGGCACCCACACATTCTCCAAACCTTCCACGGGTATCGATCCTGGTTGGGCGCTTCCCTTAGCAGCAGCCTCCCCCTCCGTCTTCTTGGCCGGCTCCTTCTTGCCTCAGGGGCCCGCTCTGGATGTGGAGGTTGGACTTGTGGCTGTCGTTCTGAGTGGGACCGCTGCTCACTCGGTTCTTGATCTCCGCCGCCATCGTGAGAAACGCCTGCTCCACATTGGTGGCATTTTTTGCACTGGTTTCGAGGAAGGGCACCCCGAGGGAGTCCGCATATTCCTGAAAGCAGGGAAACGAGAGACCAAGAATGAAAATGCAACAATAAGCATTGCTCTTACTAAAAGGGAGATAGATGTATTCACTGTGCTGCGAACCAAAGGTGTATGAAAATATACATGTGCTAAACATTGCACCACTCAGATGCTTTGTTGCAAGAATTTGCTGCTAGATGTGTTGACATTGTTTTAAGGTTTGCACATGGTCCAGGGCAATTGATGCTTATTTATTATTTACTAGCCATCCTCTGCCACACGCTGCTGTGGCCCAGTCTGGTGATCTGGAAAATAAAGTAATGGTTTCTAGTATACGTAATTCCTTTATGCTTGTGCGCACCGGGATTGTGGCGCAGCTGGCTGAGTGTCAGCTGCATTAAGATCACTCTGACCAAAAGGTCATGAGTTCGAAGCCAGCCCGGGTTGGAGTGGGTTTCCAACCAATTGTGTAGCCTGTTGTCGACCTTTGCAACCCGAAAGACAGTTGCATCTGTCAAGTAGGAAAATTAGGTACCACCTTAAAGTGTGGGGAGGCTAAATTAACTGATTTATGAGGCCATAAAGAAGACTCCAGCAAAGCATTCCAGCGGGGAAGCATGCGGGGAATGCGGAAGTGCCATCAGCATCGCAGATGGACGATGAAAGTGACAGCTCCCCTGGCGGCCAGAAAAAGTTAAATAGCCTCTGTGTATGTCTGTATATGTTTGTCAAAAATTTAATGTTTGCCATACATGTGTACACTGTAATCCGCCCTGAGTCCCCTGCGGGGTGAGAAGGGCGGAATATAAAAACTGTAAATAAATAATAAATAAGGGCTATAATCTAACCTGGTATCAATATAGACAAATAATAAATTCGTATAAAGACGATAAGAAAGACGAATTTACTGTAGAAGAATCTATATGAGATACAATTATGTTGAAGGGAAAAAATAAGGATAATATCCCAAAAACTTTTAGAATGGAATACAGAAACTGAATTGATAAAGGAGAATACGATTAAATGGGCAAAGGATGTCGGTCACCCCATCCTCTTAGAGGATTGGGAGAGAATCTGGAAAACTAAAACAAAATATTCCAAATCCTTAAAAGTAATCGAAAACTGGTACAAAATGTTCTTTCTGGGTTGTTGTAGGTTTTTTCGGACTATATAGCCATGTTCTAGAGGCATTCTCTCTTGACGTTTCACCTGCATCTATGGCAAGCATCCTCAGAGGTTGTGAGGTCTGTTGGAAGTAGGAAAAATGGAGTTTATATATCTGTGGAAAGACCAGGGTGGGACAAAGGACTCTTGCCTGCTGGAGCTAGGTGTGAATGTTTCAACTGACCACCTTGATTAGCATTTGATTGCCTGGCAGTGACTGGAGCAATCTTTTGCTGAGAGGTGATTAGATGTCATTGTTTGTTTCCTCTCTGTTGTTGTGCTGTTCTAATTTTAGAGTTTTTTTTAATATTGGTAGCCAGATTTTGTTCATTTTCATGGTTTTCTCCTTTCTGTTGAAATTGTCCACATGCTTCTTGTGGATTTCAATGGCTTCTCTGTGTAGTCTGACATGGTGGTTGTGAGAGTGGTCCAGCATTTCTGTGTTCTCAAATAATATGCTGTGTCCAGGTTGGTTCATCAGGAGGAAACCATGAAAATGAACAAAATCTGGCTACCAGTATTAAAAAAAACCTCTAAAATTAGAAGAACACAACAACAGAGAGGAAACAAAATTATTATTATTATTATTATTATTATTATTATTATTATTATTATTATTATTCTAATCACCTCTCAACGAAGGATTACTCCAGGCACTGCCAGGCCATCAAATGCTAATCAAGGTGGACAGTTGAAACATTCACACCTAGCTCCAGCAGACAAAAGTCCTTTGTCCCACCCTGGTGCTTCCACAGATATATAAACCTTTTTCCTATGAAAATGCAACAATAGGCACTGCTCTTGCTAAAAGGGAGATAGATGTATTCACTGTGCTGCGAACCGAAGGTGTATGAAAATATACATGTGCTAAACATTGCACCACTCAGATGCTTTGTTGCAAGAATTTGCTGCTAGATTTGTTTTAAGGTTTGCACATGGTCCAGGGCAATTTATGCTTATTTATTATTTACTAGCCGTCCCTTGCCATGCGTTGCTGTGGCCCAGTCTGGTGATCTGGAAAATAAAGTAATGGTTTCTAGTATATGTAATTCCTTTCTGCTTGTGGGTAAAGAGTATTCCTTGCTGTTTCTTTGTCAGTGTTGATGTGGAGAGTGTCTGGCTTTCCTACTCTGGAACATGCAACATATAATTGTCCTTCTTCAGGGGTCCCTTTCAAATCTATGATACTATATCTCTCTGTGTGTGAATCATATCTATCTATATCTATGGCTGGATGGCTCTTTGTCAGGAGGGCTTTGATTACGTTTTCTTGCCCTGGTGAAGGGAGTTGGACTGGATGGCCTTAAGTATTTTCTGTTGGTCATGGGGGTTCTGTGTGGGAAGTTTGCCCCAATTCTGTCATTGGTGGGGTTCAGAATGCTCTTTGATTGTAGGTGAACTATAAATCCCAGTAACTACAACTCCCAAATGTAAAGGTCTATTTCCCCCAAACTCCATCTGTGTTCATATTTGGGAATATGGAATATTCGTGCCAAGTTTGGTCCAGATCCATCATTGTTTGAGTCCGCAGTGCTCTAGGGATGGAGGTGAACTACAACTCCCAAACTCAAGGTCAATGCCCACCAAACCCTTCTAGTGTCATGGGGGTTCTGTGTGGGAAGTTTGCCTAAATTCTGTCATTGGCGGGGTTCAGAATGTTCTTTGATTGTAGCTGAACTACAAATCCCAGTAACTTAAACTCCCAAATGTCAAGGTCTATTTCCCCCAAACTCCATCTGTGTTCATATTTGTGCATATGGAATATTCGTGCCAAGTTTGGTCCAGATCCATCATTGTTTGAGTCCACAGTGCTCTAGGGATGGAGGTGAACTACAACTCCCAAACTCAAGGTCAATGCCCACCAAACCCTTCTAGTGTCATGGGGGTTCTGTGTGGGAAGTTTGCCTAAATTCTGTCATTGGCGGGGTTCAGAATGTTCTTTGATTGTAGCTGAACTACAAATCCCAGTAACTTAAACTCCCAAATGTCAAGGTCTATTTCCCCCAAACTCCATCTGTGTTCATATTTGTGCATATGGAATATTCGTGCCAAGTTTGGTCCAGATCCATCATTGTTTGAGTCCACAGTGCTCTTGGGATGGAGGTGAACTACAACTCCCAAACTCAAGGTCAATGCCCACCAAACCCTTTTAGTGTTTTCGGTTGGTTATGGGAGTCCTATGTACCATGTTTGGTTCAATTCTATCATTGGTGGAGTTCAGAATGCTCTTTGATTGTAGGTGAACTATAAATCCCAGCAACTACAACTCCCAAATGACAAAATCATGATGGTTACTCATTGGGTTGTTAGCCATATTGTGTCCAAATTTGGTGTCAATTCTTCCAATGGTTTTTGAGTTATGTTAATCCCACAAACGAACATTACATTTTTTATTTATATAGATGAAAAATGTTTGGTGTTTTTTTCCCAATATATCTCTCTTCTCTAATTTCCCCTTTATTTATGAATAGAAATGCATTAAAGAAACAAAGACTGGTACATCTAAAAGCAAAATTATGACCTTTGTGTTCTCCAAAACCAGAGCACATCTTAACTTCATTCCCCCAGACACGACAGAATTCCTACTTGCACGGTTTAGATCAGTGTTTCTCAACCTGGGGGTCGGGACCCCTGAGGGGGTCGCAAGGCTGTGTCAGAGGGGTCACTGAAGAGCATTAGAAAAAATAATATTTTCTATTGGTCATGGAGGTTTCTGTGTGGGAAGTCTGGCCCAATTCTATCGTTGATGGGGTTCAGAAGGCTCTCTGATTGTAGGTGAACTATAAATCCCAGCAATTACAACTCCCAAATGTCAAGTCTATTTTCCCCAAACTCCCAACAGTGTTCACATTTGGGCATATTGAGTATTCATGCCAAGTTTAGTCCAGATCTATCATTGTTTGAGTCCACAGTGCTTTCTGGAGATAGGTGAACTACAATTCCCAAACTCAAGGCCAATGCTCACCTAACCCTTTCATTATTTTTTACTGGTCATGGGCGTTCTGTGTGCCAAGTTTGGATCAATTCCATCTCTGGTGGAATTCAGAATGTTCTTTGATTGTAGGTGAACTATAAATCCCAGCAACGACAACTCCCAAGGTCCAGAGAATGAATATACATCCTGCCAATCAGATATTTACATGATGATTCATAACAGTAGCAAAATTCCAGTTATTAAGTAGCAACGAAAATCATTTTAGGGTTGGGGGTCATCACAACATGAGGAACTATATAAAGGGGTCGTGGCGTCAGGAAGGTTGAGAACCACTGGTTTAGATGGTGACACCCCATGTGTTTATGGGCCTCAGCAGCTGCTAATGGTAGTGATTTCACAGCACGTGATGCGTCATGTTCCCCAGGTGCGTACCTTGGCTGTTGTGTAGTCCACGGCTTTCTTGCTTGTGAGGTCGCTCTTGTTTCCAACAATCAGCTTGTTCACATTCTCGCTGGCATAGCGGTTGATCTCCTCCATCCAGAGGTGCATGTTGTTGAACGAATCCTGGAAAAGAGAGCTAGGTCAGCGAAAACTGCTTGTGAGTCTGTGGTTTTAAAGCCATTCACAATCGGAGCTATCGTTGCACTTGATGGCAATGACTTTTTGCAAAGGTTTTTCATTTTGCTTGCTTTAGGGATGCTCTAAATGTAATAGTATTTAATAATAACATTCTAAACAGAATATGCCGATGATAAAGTAGTTTGTGCACATTCAGAAGAAGACCTATATTTATTTATTCATTTTATTTAAAAGTTTTGTATACCGACCGGTTTCCAACCATAATATCACATACAATCAATAAAACATCATAATACATATTACAGTAAAACATTAAAACAGCAATTACATTCAATAACTATAATGGTCAGTCGTCACACTAAAATCGTTGCTCCTCATCCTCCATCTATATCTCAGGGTGTTGGCTCACTCGTCGAATACCTGTCTCCATAACCAAGTCTTCACCTGTTTCCTACATGTCAGGATAGACGGGGCGGTTCTGATCTCCAGTGGGAGAGAGTTCCAGAGTCGAGGGGCCACCACCGAGAAGGCCCTGTCCCTCGTCCCCACCAGACACGCTTGCGAGGCTGGTGGGACCGAGAGCAGGGCCTCTCCAGATGATCTTAATAATCTTGATGGTTCATAGGAGAGAATAATCCACACTAAACACCTTTGCAGAAGCAGACGAGAAGCTCGAGAAGCTCGGTCTCCCATTGAACATTCTCGCTGGCATAGCGGTTGATCTCGTCCAACCAAAGTGCTCTTCCAGCAGTCACCAGCCAATCCCTCTCCAATGCCATAAATACAGCTTGTGCTGACACGCACTGGGCCTATAGCAATTGTCTTTTAAAACAGGACGGGCTCTTTGTGCCCAGCGGGATGCCGGGGTGCCTCGGCTGAGAGGCCCTATGGATTTTCCTAAACAAAGTCTTTAGAAACTTGGAAAGTTTAACAAAGTTCTTTATTATTGCTTAGATCTTCAACAAAACACACAAATTCTTCTTAACTTGCCCACAAAGGACAGGCAGCTTGCTTCGTGAACTATTTCTTTCTTTTACAAGGAAAACCCTCTGACCCCTCCCTGGGCAATCTGTCTTTAGGCTGGCTGGCGTGGGGCCTTACTCCCGGTTCCAATTTGCTTTTTGGGTACCTGAGTAAACCTTACCGGCCAAAACTTTAGAGATTTTCCAGCTGGAGACCTTTGGATCTGTAAAACTGTTTTCTTCAGAAGCTTTAGGGCTGTCTTCCAGAGCTGTGAGGCTGTAAGTTCCCCAGCCAGAGCTTTGAGAACTGTCTTCCCCAAAAGCTTTGGGACTATTTTCCCCCGGAGCTTTGTAAGACATGGAGCTTTCTACAGGTGGGAGAATCTCACACGTCCTGTTGGAAAGGCTTCTCCGTGATAACTGAGCTAAAGGTCCCTTTTCCCTCCCAAACCCTGGGGAAAGGGGCGGATCTAAAGGCTGCAACAGTGATTGACAGGTTGCTGGCCCTATTACTGCAATCTGGAAGAAGCTACCAAATTGCAAAGTGCATAGCCTTCAGGAATTCATGCAAACAAGCAAAAAAAAGAAAAGAAAAAGGGGATTCAAACCCCTGGCACAGCCGTGCCAGAACAAATACTAATAACAATAATATGATATCATTTCCGCTACCTTGGCAGCCACCTCTCACATTGACACTGAAATACAACACCGCCTGAGCTCTGCGAGTGCAGCATTTTCCCGAATGAAGCAGAGAGTGTTTGAGGACCGGGACATCCGTAGGGAGACCAAGGTGCTTGTTTACAAAGCTATTGTCCTCCCAACCCTGCTATATGCCTGTGAGACATGGACTATCTACAGACGTCACACTTAACTCCTGGAAAGATTCCATCAGCGCTGCCTCTGAAAAATCCTGCAAATCTCTTGGGAAGACAAGCGGACAAATGTCAGCATGCTGGAAGAAGCAGCAAAGACCACCAGCACTGAAGTGATGCTCCTACGCCATCAAGGACTGGCCACCTTGTCCTGTCTCCCAAAGCAGTTACTCTATTCCCAATGCAAGAATCAAAAATGGAATATTCATGGACAGGAAAAGGGATTGAAAGATGGGCTTAAAGCCAAGCTTAAAAACTGTGGCATAGACACAAAGAGAGAACTGGGAAGTCCTGGCCCTTGAGTGCTCCTACTGGAGTTCAGCTGTGACCAGCAGTGCTGTGGAATTTGAAGAGGCACAAATAGAGGGCAAAGGGGAGAAATGTGCCAAGAGGAAGGCGCGTCAAGCCAATGCTGATCAGGACTACATTCCATCTGGAAACTGATGTCACTGTGGGAGAACATGTGGGTCAAGTATAGGGCTCCATAGTCACCTATGTATCCACCACCAGAAAACTACACTTGGAGGGCCATCATGCTCAGACAACAAGGGATTGCCTAGGTATGGAAGTACGCTACCAGATTAGTTACTGAATGCAGCTGGTTTGCCTTGATTCACCTGGAATACCGTGTCCAGTTCTGGGCACCACAATTGAAGGGAGATGTTGACAAGCTGGAATGTGCCCAGAGGAGGGCGACTAAAATGATCAAGGGTCTGGAGAACAAGCCCTATGAGGAGCGGCTTAAAGAGCTGGGAATGTTTAACCTCAAGAAGAGAACGGAGGACTGGGTCTCTCACCTGGTCTGTCACATCATACACAATGATGATGCCATGTGCACCTCGGTAATAGCTGGACGTGATGGTTCGGAAGCGCTCCTGCCCTGCCGTGTCCCACTGGGGAGGAAAGCAAAACAGGGTTCTGGTCAGGGATGCATTCTGGTGGGCAGTGCTGGAAAGGGTCAATCCTTTATTTCATTTCAAAGCATCCTATCCAACATAAACATCAACGTATTGTCGAAGGGTTTCGTGGCCGGAATCACTGGGTTGTTGTAGCTTTTATGGGCTATGTGGCCATGTTCTAGAGGCATTCTCTCCTGACGTTTCGCCTGCATCTATGGCAAGCATCCTCAGAGGTAGTGAGGTCTGTTGGAACTAGGAAAAAGGGTTTATATATCTGTGGAATGACCAGGGTGGGACAAAGGACTCTTGTCTGCTGGAGCTAGGTGTGAATGTTTCAACTTACCACCTTGATTGGCATTTGATTGCTTGGGGCAATCTTTTGTTGAGAGGTGATTAGATGTCCCTGATTGTTTCCTCTCTGTTGTTTTTCTGTTGTAATTTTAGAGTGTTTTAATACTGGTAGCCACATTTTGTTCATTTTCATGGTTTCCTCCTTTCTGTTGAAATTGTCCACATGCTTGCGGATTTCAATGGCTTCTCCACAAGAAGCATGTGGACAATTTTCAACAGAAAGGAGAGGAAACCATGAAAATAAATAAAATCTGGCTACCAGAAAAGGGAAGAAACAAAAGGGAAGAAAGGGTGGAAGGGAAGGGAAGGGAAAGGAGGAAGGAAGGGAAGGAAGGAAGGAAGGGAAGGAAGGAAGGGAAGGAAGGGAAGGGAAGGAAGGAAAGGAAGGAAGGAGAAGAAGGAAGGAAGGAAGAGGAGAAGGAAGGAGGAAGGGAGGAAGGAAGGATGGAAGAGAAAGGAAGGAGAGAGGAAGGAGGGAGGAATGGGGAAAGAAGGAAGGATGAAACGGTGGAAGGGAAGGAGGAAGGAAGAAGGAAGGATGAAGGGAGAAAGGAAGGAGGAAAGAGAGAGAGAAGAAGGAGGGAGGAATGAAGGAAAGAAGGAAGGATGAAACGGTGGAAGGGAAAAGAAGGAAGGACAAAAGGGAGGAAAGGAACAATGGAATGAGAAAAAGGGAAGGAAGGACAAAAGGGAGGAAAGGAAGGATGGAATGAGAAAGAGGGAGAGGGGGAGGAGGGAGGAGAGGGAAAGAAGGAAGAGAAAGGGAAAGGGAAGGAAGGGGAAGGAAAGAGAAGGAAGGACGAAGGAGAAGGAAGGAGGAAAGGGAAGAGGGGAAGGAGGGGAAGAAGGAAAGAAGAAGGAGAAAGGGGAAGGAAGGAGGAGGAAAGAGAAGAAGGAAAAGGAAGAAAGGGAAAAGGAGAGAGAAAGAGAGAAGGAAGGACAAAGGGAAGGAGGAAGGAAGGAGAAAAGGAAGGGAGGAAGGAAGAGAAAGAGGGAGAGGAAGGAGGAGGAAGGGGAAAAGAAGGAAGGGGAAGGGAAGGGAGGAAAAAGGAAAAAGGAAGGAAGGAGAAAGGGGGAAATCTATTGTGAAGAAAAAGGGAGAGGGAGGAGGGAGGAAAGAGGGGAAGGAAGGAAAGACAAAAGGGAAGAAAGGAAAGGGGAAGGGAAGAAGGAAGGAAAGATGAGGGAGGAAAAGAAGGGAAGGAAGGAAAGAAAGGTGGAATGAGAAAGAGGGAAGGAGGGAGGAATGAGAAGGAAGGAAAGACAAAAGGGAAGGAAGGAGGAAGGGAAAGGGAAGGGGAGGAGAAAGGGAGGAAGGAAGGAGAGGAGAAGGAGGGAGGAAAAGAAAGGAGGAAAGACAAAAAGGAAGGAAGGATGGATGAGGAAGGAAGGAAGGGAAGAGAGAAGGAAGGAAGGATGAAAGGGAGGAAAGGAAGGATGGAAGGAGAAAGAGGGAGAGAGGGAAGGAGGGGGAAAAGAGGGAAGGAAGAAAAGACAAAAGGGAAGGAAGGATGAAAGGGTGGGATGGAAGGAAGGGAAGGAGGAAGAAAGAAGGAAGGAAGGATAAACAAAAGACAGAATGAAGAGACAAAAGGGAGGGAAGGAGGAAAGTGTGGAAGGGAAGAACGAAAGGGTGGAAGGGAACGATGGAAGGAAAAAGAGAGGGAAGGAGGACAGGAAGAGAAAGAAGGAAAGACAAAAGGGAGGGAAGGACAAAGGGTGGAAGGGAAGGAGGAAAGAATGAGGGAAGGAAGGACAAAAGGATGGAAGGAAATGGAGGGAGGGAGAAAGAGGGGAGGGAAAGAGAAAGAGGAAAGTGAGGGAGGAAGGGAGGGAAAGAGGAAGGAAAGAGGGACAAAAGGGTGGAAGGGAAGGAGAAAGTGGAAAGGAAGGAGGAAGGAAAGACAGAAGGAAGGAAGCATTGGATGGTGAGAGAGGAGGGCCTGAGATGGTTTCCCCTACTGATGCATGTTGTTGTGCTGTCATACGCAGTTAAGGCTAATGTTAGAGAAGAATGTAGCTTCTCTGTTTGTCTGAACTGCTCAACGAGAATGTGTATGTGCCTTCAGGTTGCTACTAATTTATGGCCAATCTCATTGATTTTGTAGGCAGGGAATACTCAGGTGTTTTGACAGATCCTGATGCCTTTTGTCTGGTCAGAAAGGCCACACACTTGTTGAGGTTTTGCAACCCATTCAGCTGCTGGAGCCTGTATCCTTCCCACCCAGCTGGAATAATGTTTCTCTTTCCAGAGAAGGAATACTCACAATTTGCAGCTTAATTGTCCTTCCTTCCAACTCAATTGTTCGAATTTTGAAATCTACGCCAATGGTGCTGATGTAGCTGTCTGTATAGGTGTCATCCTAGAGTAGAAGAAGAGAGAAAAGCACGTAAGTAGTTGTACTCTACTATATATTTATCGTGTCAGGAGCAAACCAAACAGTTGTATTTACAAAACAAACAAGCAAAAACCGCACAAAGTTTGCAAACTTGGCATTCTGTTAAATGTCCTTTGACCAGTATCTGGCCACTTGGAGTGTCTCTGGTGTTGCCGAAAGAAGGTCCTCCATTGTGCGTGTGGCAGGGCTTAGGTTGTATTGTAGTCAGTGGTCTGTGGTTTGCTCTTCTCCACACTCGCATGTCGTGGACTCCACTTTGTAGCCCCATTTCTGAAGGTTGGCTCTGCATCTTGTGGTGCCAGAGCGCAGTCTGTTCAGTGCCTTCCAAGTCGCCCAGTCTTCTGTGTGCCCAGGGGGGAATCCCTCATTCGGTATCAGCCATGGATTGAGGTTCCCGGTTTGAGCCTGCCACTTTTGGACTCTTGCTTGCTGAGGTGTTCCTGCAAGTATCTGTAGATCATAGGGCACTAGAAACAATATCATATGAAAGCGGACTGGCACAACCTGGGGATCACAACCAGACACAATGAAGACATCTGCCCTTGCGCTTTGCTATTCTGCTGCTGGGTATGCATCATTGTGCTGGTACAGCTGTACCAGAAGCTCCCACTTTATTTGCCTTGTATTAAGTGTTTGCTTGCAGCCCAAGGCTTGGGATTCTGCAGAAGGGTGGCTTCCTGTTAAAGTTTGCAGTTATAGGGCAGCCCCCTGTCCATCATTGTTAAGTTTGGTTCCGCCCCCTGTTCAGGACAATTTTGAAGGGAAGGGAGCCATTTTCAGTCAGTCTCAGCAAAGAAAGTCAATGTGCAGGATGTGTACAGACTTTTTCCTGTACAAAGGCTTCAACCCTTAAGACCTGCGGGGGGAGAACAATCTTAAGAACATCTAAAGATTCCCAAAGGTTCCCAGGGAAACAGCCTTACAGCCCTGAGGAATTTCGGAGGGAATAACAGCTTTAAACATCAAGAACTCCAGCTAAGTGACTACAGGCCTACTGGTAGGTCCACTCGGTTTTGAGACACAGTTCACCCGGTAGTGAATCCACATCAGTTAGGTTTAGGATCACAGCCTGGGAGAAGTTTGGAAAGGGATTTTCCTTTAGAGTAACAGCAACAGTTAGAAGCCACCAGTTGCACAAAAGCCTGGAAGCATTTGTTTAACCCTTTTGAAGACAAAAGAAGTTTCTGTTGATTGTTCACCAATAAAAGACTTTGTTATATTTTACAAGCCCTCTAGAGACTGTTTATGGTGAAAATCCTTACGAATTTCTCTTCGGGCCCCCTGGCTTCCCGCTGGGCTAAAGTTGCATGTCCTGTATTAAAGTCAATTCATTTCAAGCCCAGCGCGCAACAGAACACCACGCTAAAACAGTGGATGTGGCTCTTAGTGGGACATGCCGCATTTTCACGGGGTGTCTGCGCCCTCCATCACTAGAGAAATTACCTTGTTTAACCAGTATTGCACCACCTAACATCCACCGTGGAGTAGCAACCAATAGTGAGAGGACCAAGGCAGTGACATCTCCGGCTCACCCCCTGTTTGGGTATCAGCCAGCATGCCAACAACTTAAATAAAGAAATAGTTTTCCAAGATCTGTGCCCCCTGACCCCCTCTGCATCCTAGTGCAGTTTGGAGGAGGATGAACCACGGATTATGGGACTTGCAGTACATTCACTCACGTTTTGAGACCACTGCGACCCTCATGTTGGGACTCAGCCTGTGATTGAACCTGAGCCTGGGCTTGAACCTGTGAATGTGTTTCAGTCTCCTGATGTTTCTGTGTCTGATGTGGGTAATGAGGAGGGAAACCAGTCCCCTGTTGCTTCTGATGTGGGGGATGCTGGGACTGACTCTGAGGTGCCAGATGGAGACACTTTGGTCAATGAGTTTCATGCAGACACTGACAGAGAGGCTTTGGTGCAAAGGGCAGATTCTCATGAGAATGTTTCTGTCAGGCCTTGGGAGGAAGGTTTACTCCCTCCGCCTGTGAGTTCTCCAGATTCTAGTTTGGAAAACAGTCTAGCACCTGCTAGAGTTAATACGGAGTCAGATAAGCAGAGTTCGCTGCTGGAGATTAGCCAGAATCGACAAGAAGCCCAATGTTTACGTAGCTCCGAAAGAATTAGGCAGTCTAGGTCAAAGACTGGGGAGAAACGAAACCAGTTTTTGGGATTTAAGGTTTGCCTGTAGAGAATCTTGTCAGATCAGGCATCATTTGGAAACCAAGTTCTTGTGCCATGGAAGTCTTGTTCAAGGGATATTGTTTCTGTGGAATTTTCTAGCCTTTTGGACTGTCTTTGCATCCTGCTTGATTCCTGTCTGGATTAATGCTGTCTTGGATTGCCTGTATTTCTTGGGTGGACTTTGCTTTGGGTTACTACTGTTTATGGACGAATACTTTTTGGAACCTTCTGATTTTCTTACAAGCATTTATTTCTTCTGGCTATTTACTAAGCTACAATAAAATAAGACTTGGTTCTTCTCTCTTCATGTGGTGTGTTTTAAGTCAGAGGGCTTCTTCTGGACCTGGAGTGCAATATCTCATCCAATGACTGATCAAGACCAGACTTGGCACACAGAGCCCCCCATGGCCCATTCTACATCCTAGTGCAGTTTTGAGGAGGATGGACAACGGATGATGGGACTTGAAGCACCTCCACTCACTTCCTGAGAGTGTTGCGACCCTCATCCAATGACTGATCAAGACCAAACTTGGCACACAGAACCCTCGTGACCCACTCTACATCCTGGTGCAATTTGGAGAAGGATGGACCACAGATGATGGGACTTGAAGTACCTTAACTCACTTCCCAAGACTGTTGCGACCCACATCCAATGACTGATCAAGACCAAACTTGGCACACAGAGCCCCCATGACCCATTCTACGTCCTAGAGCAGTTTCGAGGAGGACAGACCATGGCTGATGGGACTTGAAGTACCTCCACTTATTTCCCAAGAGTGCTGCGACCCTCATCCAATGACCGATCAAGACCAAACTTGGCACACAGAGCCTTCATGACCCATTCTACATCCTGGTGCTGTTTCGAGGAGGACAGACCACGGATGATGGGACTTGAAGTATTCACTTCCCGAGAGTGCTGCGACCGTCATCCAATGACCAATCAAGACCCAACTTGGCACACAGAACCCTCGTGACCACTCTACATCCTGGTGGAGTTTGGACAAGGATGGACCACAGATGATGGGACTTGAAGTGCCTTAACTCACGTCCCAAGACTGCTGCAACCCTCATCCAATGACTGATCAAGACCAAACTTGGCACACAGAGCCCCCATGACCCACTCTACATCCTGGTGCAGTTTGGAAGAGGATGGACAATAGGACTTGCATATGGGAGTTGTATTTCACCCATACCAACTGAACCAAGATGACATTGGATCTAGATTAAAACTGCAACACAGACAAACAATACCTATCTCAAATAACCCGGGCACCGCCAGGTCCCAAAGTTAGTAATAAATCAATTAATTTATCAAGTGATTAGAAGCCAATTGAATTCTGCACAGTGAGTACTTACTGCAAAACGCAGCAGGAGGCACGATTTTCCGACTCCAGAATCACCGATCAGCAGCAGCTTAAACAAATAGTCACTGTTGTGGAAGAAGGAAAGAGAAACAAACTGAACAAAAGAAGTGGTTTAGTTTTACTTTTTACCTTCCTTAGGAGGAGAGGGATAGAATTCAGCCGAGTCTCGCTTATCCGACCTTCGCTTATCTGGCAATCTGTCTTATCTGACGGCCCCCTTTTCCTCCAGGATTTCCCCTTCAATGAAAGGAATGCTTCCAACTCTCCCCCCGTTGAGTTGTTGTGAATGTAGTAAACTACAAGGCTTCAAACTACAAGAAAGGAGATTCCATCTGAACATTAGGAAGAACTTCCTGACTGTGAGAGCTGTTCAACAGTGGAACTCTCTGCCCCGGAGTGTGGTAGAGGCTCCTTCTTTGGAAGCTTTTAAACAGAGGCTGGATGGCCATCTGTTGGGGTGCTTTGAATGCAATTTTCCTGCTTCTTGGCAGAATGGGGTTGGACTGGATAGCCCATGAGGCCTCTTCCAACTCTAGGATTCTATTATTCTATGAAAACTGCTAGGCCATTAAATGCTAATCAAGGTGACCAATTGCTATATTCACACCTACCCGAAACACACAAGAGTTCTTTCTCCCATCCCGGATATTATTCCACAGATATATAAACCCCACTTGCCAACTTTCCAGCAGACCTCACAACCTCTGAGGATGTCTGCCATAGATGTGGGTGGGAACTTTAATTTCTTTTTCCTCTTTTAATTTAAGTGTTTCTTGAGAAACTTCAAGTCGCTTCTGGTGTGAGAGAATTGGCAAAGACATTGCCCAGGGGATGCTCGGATGTTTTACCATCCTGTGGGAGGGTTCTCTCATGTCTCCTCATGGGAAGCTGGAGCTGACAGACAGGAGCTCACCCCGCTCCCTGGATTCGAACTGCTGACCTTTCAGTCCTGCCGGCCCAAGGCTTTAACCCATTGTGCCACTGAAGGCTCCAATGCACAGGTGAAAACCTAGTTGGCTCAGCATCACCTCCCTTCTAGCAACGTAAATCACCCCGTGCCAACATGGCTTCTCACCTCATTGCTTGATACTTACTATTCAGGGCTGATGGTTGACATCCTGACAGGCAGACATGCAGAAAACCCAGGCGTCCTGCTACTTCAAGTCAAGGAAAAGAACTGGGATAGATAGGATGTTGCCGTTCTCTGGATTCAGTTTGCCTTTTGGAGAGAAAAGAAGAGTTTTGCTACTGTTGTCCCATGATATGAGATTAGGTCTCTGGTTGGAGAGAGCTAAGGAAACATTAATGCAGTGGTTCTCAGCCTTCCTAATGCCGTGACCCCTTAATACAGTTCCACATGTGGTGGGGACCCCCAACCATAACATTATTTTCATTACTACTTCACAACTGTCATTTTGCTACTGTTGTCCCGTGATATGAGATTAGGTCTCCGGTTGGAGAGAGCTAAGGATAAGTTAATGCAGTGGTTCTCACGCTTCCAAATGCCACGACCCCTTAATACAGTTCCTCATGTTGTAGTGACCCCCAACCATAACATTATTTTTGTTGCTACTTCACAACTGTAATTTTGCTACTGTTGCCCCGTGATATGAGATTAGGTCTCTGGTTGGAGAGAGCTAAGGAAAGGTGAATACAGTGGTTCTCACCCTTCCTAATGCCGTGACCCCTTAATACAGTTCCTCATGTGGTAGTGACCCCCAACCATAACATTGTTTTCGTTGTTACTTCAGAAATGTCATATTTCTCTTGTTGTCCCGTTATATGAGATTAGGTCTCTGGTTGGAGAGAGCTAAGGAAACGTTAATGCAGTGGTTCTCAGCCTTCCTAATGCCGTGACCCCTTAGTACAGTTCCTCATGTGGTGGTGACCCCCAACCATAACATTATTTTCGTTGCTACTTCAGAAATATCAATTTGCTACTCTTGTCCCATGATATGAGATTAGGTCTCTGGTTGGAGAGAGCTAAGGAAAAGTTAATGCAGTGGTTCTCAACCTTCCTAATGCTGAGACCCCTTAGGACAGTTCCTCATGTTCTGGTGACCCCCAACCATAACATTATTTATCGTTGCTACTTCATAACTCGAATTTTGCTACTGTTATGAATCGTAATGTAAATATCTGATATGCAGGGTGTATTTTCATTCACTCGATCCAATTTGGCACAAATACCTGATATGCCAAAATTTGAATACTGGTGGGATTGGGAGGGGGGATTGATTTTGTCATTTGGGAGTTGGAGTTGCTGGGATTTATAGTTTACCTACAATCCAAGAGCATTCTGAACTCCCCCAATGATGGAATTGAACCAAACTTGGCACCCTGAACTCCCATGATCAACCGAAACTACTGGAAAGATTTGGTGGGCATTGACCTTGAGTTCTGGAGTTGTAGTTCACCTATATCCAGAGAGCACTGTGGACTCAAACAATGATGGATCTGGACCAAACTTGGCACAAATACTCCAAAATGTCCAAATGTCAACATTGGTGGAGTTTAGGGAAAGTAGACCTTGACATTTGGGAGTTGTAGTTGCTGGGATTTATAATTCACCTACAATCAAAGAGCATTCTGAACACGACCAGCAATGGAATTGAACCAAACTTGGCACGCTGAACTCCCACGATCAACAGAAAATACTTGAAAGATTTGGTGGGCATTGACCTTGAGTTCTGGAGTCGTAGTTCACCTACATCCAGAGAGCACTGTGGACTCAAACAATCATGGATTTGGACCAAACTTGGCACACATCCTCAATATTCCCAAATGGATTTTGGGGGAAATAGACTTTTACATTTGGGAGTTGTAATTCCTAGGATTTATAGTTCACCCACAATCAAGGAGCACTTTGAACCTAATCCGCAATGGATCTGCACCAAACTTTGCACCAATACTCAATATGCCCAGATGTGGAGTTTGGGGGAAATAGCCATTTGGGAGTTGTAGTTGCTGCGATTTATAGTTCACCTACAATCAAAGAGCACTTTGAACCCAGCCCACAATGGATCTGCACCAAACTTGGCACGAATACTCAATATGCCCAGATGTGAACACTGGTGGAGTTTGGGAGAAATAGACTTTGACATTTGGGGGTTGTAGTTGCTGGGATTTATAGTTCACCTACAATCAAAAAGCATTCTGAGTCCCACAAACGATAGAATTAGGCCAGTCTCAGAAATGGCCCTTAACCTTAATTTTACGAAGTAGTGCATGGCTAAATGAACTACAACCAATACTTTCACATTATCAAATGGTCCTTTTCCTAACGATCAGTACATTGCATCTGTCCTTGATCCCCTGGCTGCAATTGGGCTTCTTTCCAGCCCACTCTCTGCATCTCCGGAAATAGGATTTCATTCCTGTGGAACCAGCTGTTCACTGTAAACGAGCGAGTGTCTCAGGGCTCCTTTCCACAACAGACATCATGGTTTTATAATCATTGAACTGTCATGGCTTCCACAAAGGATGCTGGAAATTGTAGTCCGGTGCTTAGAACTCTCTTGCAAAAATCTGCCCTTTCCAAAAGCTACATTTCCTGAGGAACGAACCCTCTCTCCAAAAAAGGAAAAGCTGTCTAACTAGTTTGGTTGTCACTAGACTGTATGTGCTCATAGTACATTTAAACCAGTGGTGCCGACCTGTAGTCCGTGGCACAAGAACTAAAATGTAGTCCGCGGCGTCACCGTTGCTACCCCGTTGCAACAAGAGGGACTACTCTCAAAACCCCATTGTAGTGCCAAGGCTTATTAAATACTGTTTTATGTAGGTGAGCAGATGGTGACTACTGGATGGCATATGTTCTGTATCAGAAACTAGAACTGATGTGGTCTATCCGATGCAATTTTCTGAATTTGACCAAAAACATATTCATAACCCTTTGGGTACTGATGTTGGAGAGTGGTCCCGGGGCAAAGTGGTTTCTGTTCAAAGTGGCCCCTGGTTAAGTGGTCCCTGGTCCAAGTAGTTCTTGGTCAACTGGTCCTTGGTCAATTGGTCCCTGATCAAAGTGGTTTCTGATCAAAATGGTTCTTAGTCAAGTGGTCCTTTGTCAAAGTGGTCTCTGATCAAAGTGGTTCCTGGTCAAGTGGTCGCTGATCCAAGTAGTCCTTGGTCAACTGGTCCTGATCAAAGTGGTTCCTGATCAAAGAGGTTCTTGGTCAAGTGCTCTCTGATCAAAGTGGTCCCTGATCAAAGTGGTCCCTGATCAAGTGGTCCTTGGTCAAAGTGGTCCTTGATCAAAGTGGTCCCTGATCAAGTGGTCCTTGGTCAAAGTGGTTCCTCATCAAAGTGGTTCCTGGTCAAGTGGTCCCTGATCCAAGTAGTCCTTGGTCAACTTGTCCTGATCAATGTGGTTCTGATCAAAGTGGTTCCTGGTCAAGTGGTGCCTGGTCAAAGTGGTCCCTGGGCAAAGTGACCTCTGATCAAAGTGGTCACTGATCAAAGTGGTCACTGATCAAAGTGGTCCCTGATCAAGTGGTCCCTGATCCAAGTAGTCCTTGGTCAACTGGTCCTTTGTCAACTGGTCCTGATCAAAGTGGTTCCTGATCAAAGAGGTTCTTGGTCAAGTGCTCTCTGATCAAAGTGGTCCCTGATCAAGTAGTCCCTGGTCAAAGTGGTCCCTGATCAAAGTGGTCCCTGATCAAGTGGTCCTTGGTCAAAGTGGTTCCTCATCAAAGTGGTTCCTGGTCAAGTGGTCCTTTGTCAAGGTGGCCTCTGATCAAAGTGGTCCCTAGTCAAGTGGTCACTGGTCAAGTGGTCCTTGGTCAAAGTGGTCCCTGATCAAACTGGTCTCTGATCAAAGTGGTCCCTGTTCAAGTAGTCCCTGGACAAGTGGTCCCTGACCAGAGCAGTCCTTGTTCAAAGTGGTCCCTGATCTAGTGGTCCTTGGTCAAAGTGGTCCCTGATCAAAGTGGTCCCTGATCCAGTGGTCCCTGGTCAAAGTGGTCCCTGATAAAAGTGGTCCCTGATCAAAGTAGTCCCTGATCAAGTGGTCCTTTATCAAAGTGGTCCTTGGTCAAAGTGGTCCCTGATCAAGTGGTCCTCGGTCAAAGTGGTCCCTGATCAAAGTGGTCCCTGATCAAAGTGGTCCCTGATGTAGTGGTCCTTGGTCAAAGTGGTCCCTGATCAAAGTGGTCCCTGGTCTAGTGGTCCTTGGTCAAAGTAGTCCCTGATCAAGTGGTCCTTGATCAAAGTGGTTCTTGATCAAAGTCTTCGGTCAAAGTAGTCCCTGATCAAAGTAGTCCTTGGTCAAGTGGTCTCTGGTCAAAGTGGTTCCTGGCCAAAGTGGTCCCTGATCAATATGTTCCTTGTTCAAGTGGTCCCTGATCAAAGTGGTCTGTGGTCAAAGTAAAAAAAAAAAAAGCTACTGATTTAAATCCAGACTTCCTCCTTGATATTTTTAGCTTTGGGAAACATGACCTGAGTTGAAGGGAGTTTGGGTTCTTCAAAAATGGGAGCCTCCCCACAAACTTTAGACAATACCACTGCAAAAAGATGCTTAGAACCTGACCCCAGTCCCCGCCTTTCCAGAATCCTATGTCTGAAGGGGCGGCAATGATTCCAAACAGGAATGTCTCCCGAAGGCCAGATGTAGCATCTGATCCCTACTGTTTTGTCCCCTGACTCCTTTGGCCCTCCTGCCCCCGCCCCAGCTGGTAGCAATGCAGTAAAATGTCTTCCGCTTCATCCTGATGGCTTCCAAACATCCTTGTTGGAAAGGAAGCAATCTTGATCTCCTTCCTGCCTCCCTCCCATGGCTCCCATCCATCCATCCATCCTCATTTTTGTGCATGCTTCAGCAAATCAGATAGAGAGAGAGAGAGAGAGAGATGGGGAAGAGGTGGCGTTACCTTTCCGAGGAAGGACAAAGTGTCCCTCTCCAAAGAACCTGGATATCGTCAGGGTATCTGCTGCAGAGTGAAGAGAGATGATGGATGAGGTCCCACGCAGGTCGAGGAGCCACCTGGACCATCCCCTGCTGTCAAAGGAAGAGCCCTGTCAATCCGTTGGAGGCTCATCCCCTGCCTGTGGACCACAAGGAAGGTCTGCGGTGGCAAGTCTAGCCGTGCCGGAGGAGAGGCCGCACTGGGTCCCAAAGCACCATGGTGGGGAAGGAACAAAGGATCTCCCCACCCTGCCGCCTCCCCTTCCCCAGATTTCCACCCAGCAGCTGTTCTCCTCCTCCTCCTCCTCCTCTTCCTCTCTTCTCTCCTGTCTTGCAGCAAAGATGCTCCCAGCTGAGGGCTCGGCCATTGGCCAGTGGTTGGAGATGACATCACCTGATGATGCAGAGGATTGGCCAGCAAGGAAGGGATTGGCTTGCAGAAGGGAAGCAGGGAGGGATCCAGGTCTGCAAAGCAGGAGGGATGGAGGGTCCCTGCAAGAGAAAGGGAGGGGACACCGTGGGCTTGCAAGGCATGTATGAAGGACCAGGAAAGAGAGGCAGGAAGTGAGCGGCTCACCTGATAGTGGTCCCTAAAGGGGTGGGATTTTAGTCTCGCTTGCCCAACATAAACCTGAGATATGTAGTAAATAAAGAGGGCCAAGTTCTTGGTGGGATGGGCATCCCAAGCCCCCTTCCCTCTCTCCTGAGGAATCTGTACGAGGACCAAGGAGCAACAGTCAGAACTGACCACGGAACAACAGACTGGTTCAAGATTGGGAAAGGCGTACGGCAAGGCTGCATCCTCTCACCCAACCTTTTTAACTTGTATGCAGAACACATCATGCGATGTGCGGGGCTTGATGAATGCAAAGCTGGGGTGAAAATTGCTGGAAGAAACATTAACAACCTCAGATATGCAGATGACACCACTCTGATGGACGAAAGCGAGGAGGAGCTGAGGAGCCTTCTAATCAAGGTGAAAGAAGAAAGCGCAAAAGCCGGGTTGCAGCTAAACATCAAAAAAACCAAGATTATGGCAACAAGAAGGATTGACAACTGGAAAATAGAGGGAGAAAATGTGGAGGCCGTGACAGACTTTGTATTTCTAGGTGCAAAGATGACTGCAGATGCAGACTGTGGCCAGGAAATCAGAAGACGCTTACTTCTTGGGAGGAGAGCAATGTCCAGTCTCGATAAAATAGTAAGAGTAGAGACATCAGACTGGCAACAAAGATCTGCATAGTCAAAGCCATAGTCTTCCCTGTAGTCACCTACGGATGTGAGAGCTGGACCTTAGGGAAGGCTGAGCGAAGGAAGATCGATGCTTTTGAGCTGTGGTGTTGGAGGAAAGTGCTGAGAGTGCCTTGGACTGCGAGAAGATCCAACCAGTCCATCCTCCAGGAAATAAAGCCCGACTGCTCATTGGAGGGAAGGAGACTAGAGACAAAGTTGAAGTACTTTGGCCACATCATGAGGAGACAGCAAAGCCTAGAGAAGACAATTATGCTGGGGAAAGTGGAAGGCAAAAGGAAGAGGGGCCGACCAAGGGCAAGATGGATGGATGGTATCCCTGAAGTGACTGGACTGACCTTGAAGGAGCTGGGGTGGTGACGGCCGACAGGGAGCTCTGGCGTGGGCTGGTCCATGAGGTCACGAAGAGTCAGAGACAATTGAACGAATGAACAACAACAACAAAGAGGGCCAAGGTATTGTTGAAGGCTTTCATGGCCAGAATCACTGAGTTGTTGTAGGTTTTTTCAGGCCATGTTCTAGAGGCATTTTCTCCTGACGTTTTGCCTGCATCTATGGCAAGCATCCTCAGAGGTAGTGAGGTCTGTTGGAAAATAGGGGGGCATCATGCTCAGACAACAAGGGATTGCCTAGGTTTGGAAGTAGATTAGCTACTGATTGCACATGTGTCCAGTTCTGGGCACCACAATTGAAGGGAGAAGTTGACAAGCTGGAATGTGTCCAGAGGAGAGCGACTAAAATGATCAAGGGTCTGGAGTACAAGCCCTATGAGGAGCGGCTTAAAGAGCAGGGCATGTTTCACCTGCAGAAGAGAGCGGAGGACTGGGTCTCTCACCTGGTCTGTCACATCATACACAATGATGATGCCATGTGCGCCTCGGTAATAGCTGGACGTGATGGTTTGGAAGCGCTCCTGCCCTGCCGTGTCCCACTGGGGAGGAAAGCAAAACAGGGTTCTGGTCAGGGATGCATTCTGGTGGGCAGTGCTGGAAGAGGTCCATCCTTGATTTCGTTTCTAAGCATCCTATCCAACATAAACATCAACGTATTGTCGAAGGCTTTCATGGCCGGAATCACTGAGTTGTTGTAGGTTTTTTCGGGCTACATGGCCATGTTCTAGAGGCATTTTCTCCTGACGTTTCGCCTGCATCTATGGCAAGCATCCTCAGAGGTAGTGAGGTCCGTTGGAACTAGGAAAAAGGGTTTATACATCTGTGGAATGATCAGGGTGGGACAAAGGACTCTTGTCTGTTGGAGCTAGGTGTGAATGTTTCAACTTACCACCTTGATTAGCATTTGATGGCCTGGCAGTGCCTGGAGCAATCTTTTGTTGAGAGGTGATTAGATGTCCCAGATTATTTCCTCTCTGTTGTTGTGCTGTTCTAATTTTAGAGTTCATACTTCATAACTGTAATTTTGCTACTGTTATGAATCATAATGTACATATCTATATGCAGGATGGATTTTCATTCACTGGACCAAATTTGCCACAACATGAGGAACGGTATTAAAGGGTCGCGGCAATAGGAAGGTTGAGAAACACTGGTGTAGATGCACCCACAGGCTAGGTCACACTGCTGCAACCTCACCCAGTTTGCCTTTTCCCCTCTTGACCAAACTCTGATCCTGCCTGGTTCTGGTTTCTACAAAATGCTGGAGGCTATAGAACTACAAAAGTCAACATTGACACTGAAATTCAACACCGCCTGAGCTCTGCGAGTGCAGCCTTTTTCCGAATGAAGCAGAGAGTGTTTGAGGACTGGGACATCCGTAGGGATACCAAGCTATTGTCTCCCAACCCTGCTATATGCCTGTGAAACGTGGACTGTCTACAGATGTCACATGCAACTCCTGGAACAATTCCATCAGCGCTGCCTCCGGAAAACCCTGCAAATCTCATGGGCAGACAAGAGGACAAATGTCAGCATGCTGGAAGAAGCAAAGACCACCAGCATTGAAGCAATGGTCCTCCGCCATCAACTCCGCTGGACCGGCCACGTTGTCCGGATGCCCGACCACCGTCTCCCAAAGCAGTTGCTCTACTCCGAACTCAAGAATGGAAAATGGAATGTTGGTGGGCAGGAAAAGAGATTGAAAGATGGGCTTAAAGCCAACCTTAAAAACTCTGGCGTAAACACTGAAACTGGGAAGCCGTGGCCCTTGAGCGCTCCAGCTGGAGGTCAGCTGTGACCAGCAGTGCTGCAGAATTTAAAGAGGCACGAATGGTGGGCAAAAGACTGAAACATGCCAAGAGGAAGGCGCATCAAACCAACCCCGACTGGGACCGCCTTCCACCTGGAAACCAATGCCTTCACTGCAGGAGAAGATGCAGATCCACAGTCACCTACGGACCCACTGACAGAACACTGACCTTGGAGGACCATCATTCTCGGACTATGAGGGATCGCCTAGGTAAGTAAGTAAAGTAAGTAAGCTATAGAACGATGTGTTCTATAGCACTGTTTACACACTAAGCCCAATATTCAATCCTGAGTGACTCTCTAGGCCAATGGTTCTCAACCTGGGGGTCGGGACCCCTGAAGGTGTCGCGAGGGGGTGTCAGAGGGATCGCCAAAGACCATCACAGACAGTATTTTCTGTTGGTCATGGGACTTCTGTGTGGGAAGTTTGGCCTAATTCTATAGTTGGTGGGCTTCAGAATGCTCTATAGTAGTAGGTGGACTATAAATCCCAGCAACTACAACTCCCAAATGTCAAGGTCTATTTCTCCCGAACTTCACCAGTGTTCACATTGGGCATATTGAATATT